GAATCTGGAAAAGATGTATTTTGTTGTATCTGCAAACCAAGTGATTACACAAACTGGCCACCTGTGTATTAGACTCTGAAGAAGAGAACTGGATTATTATGCCAGTATATAAAAACATGCCCCAAAGTCCAGCTGGTCTTTTCTAGAGACCTGGGTGGTTTTCTCAACCTCACAATACAGGGGGGAGTGACGTTTATCATTCCAGCTACTACTAAGGTGGAGTGAACCAAGCTCATCACAGAAAGAAAGGTTATAAAAATCAGAATCTATTAAGTCTAAATGCATATACCAATGTGTGGGCTTTGAAAGGATATTTTTAAAGGAAAATAAAAGAACATTGTTTTGCTAAGGGAACAGCAACAGTTTTAAATAGTGATGTTCAGAGCTGACTTTGAGCTGTTTCACACCGGTTCATCCCTACTTGTTCATTCACACCATTATAGCTGGCAGCTTTTCTAAATGGTTGGTGCCTTTGCTCAACTGGCAGGCACGTATTTTGAACATGACATTGGTTATGTCATGGTTTCTGTGGCCATTGTGTAAAAAGAATCTTAGACAAAGATTCACCTGTTTAGATAGACTTGAATATACAGATACTTATTTATTGTTCATAAACATTTGCCAAGTGTTTCACTAATGAACACACAGCAACCAGAGTTTCATTTCCTGCAGTGATTTTTCCTTCCTCTCTTAGCTGAGACGAACAAGAAAAATACATCACCTGAGCCTTTTGTCTTCTGCACACAGTCTGCTCCCACCTTCCTGCTTTATCTCCTGCTAGTATCCTGTGGTCCAGCTGGACGGGTCCACTTCGTAGGTCCCAGATCTGCCTGGACATTACATGTTTTGTGTCTTTGTCTGTGTCTGAGCTCAAAAGGTTCCCACAGAATTGAACCCTAGGGGCTCCCTGAGTCCCAAAAAGATGGAAAAGACCAGAGAATGAATTCTTCCCAAGAGCCTCCAGAAAAGAGCACAGTGCTATTGAAGTACTAATTTTAGCCCAGTGAGTACCCTGTGGGACTTTTCACCTATAGAGCTGTAGGTTCATGAATATATATTTTTCAAAGCAACCAAGTTTGTGATCTTTTGTTACAGCAGCCATAGAAAACTAATACAGTAACAAATGCAGTTGAAGCATTTCGTGGGAAGGCCTAAGTGAAACGCCTGCGTAAGCTGGAGGCTCAGGGAAAGATTTCCCTACATAAACCAAATAAAGTGATTTTGCAGGGCCAAGAGGAGGGAGAAGGGCATTCTAGTCTGTGGGGTGAGGGTGTGTGTAGGAGAAACAGGAGCAAAAAGCAGTAAAGTGAGAAACAAGTGCGGGTTTGGATCCCACCTTGCTAGTTAATAACCGTGGTGGCAATGTGGCAAGACAGGAAGCAGGAGGGACAGGGGCCCCAGGACTTCTCTGCCCTGGGGAGGGGCCTAGCTTTAAACCCGAGGTCACCAGAGGGTAGTGAGGTGTTTTAATGAACGAGTGGGGGGTGTATTGGAGGGTTGGAATGACATGGTACAATTTGCATTTACAAATATATACTATATTTAACTTCCTTTTAGCATATAACCCTCACACAGAAATAAACAACTGTGATCTCACATACGAGTCCCAGTCTGAATGTCACAGGACAGACAGGGCTCTGACTGTGGGAACTTGATCTACAGTTGGACCCTCTTTCAACCTGGGCAACGGTGTGTAGCAGGCTCCAGGAAGGCAGACTGCACCTGGGCCTTTCTTCTGCCCCCTAACTCTCTCCTCCCTTTTGGATGCCCCGCACAGGGGCACAGTATTTACTCAGTGAGGATGCTGAGAGTGGTTTGGGGGTACCTTAGTCCTCATACAATCTCCATCCAATCCACCCAAGCCCTTCCAAAAAATATGTAAATCTACTACTTTTTAAAAAATATGGACAATCTGAGGTAAAAAGTAAAGAAAAGCAGCTTTAGAAAATTTGGTTCTTTACAATGATTTATGCATAGTCTGTCATAAAAATAACAATCAAATGCTATCGCTGGAAGAGAAATCTGTAAACTTCGATCTGCCCTCCTATAATTTCCAACCTCTGAGACACACTAGAGTTTTAAATTTAAGGATGCCTAATAGAGCCTACTGCGCAGCACTGTGGAGGTTACAGATATTTTATAATTCCACATTCTCATTAGTCCTGAGTGGTTTCCTGATCCCCTCTATATAAGACTTATTAAAATTGTTTAGGTAATAGTGAGACAGGGACCATGGATGTAGTCAGAGCAGGGTGAGGGCCTCTGGAGGGGGCAGGGCGGGATGTTTGCAGTCAGAGCAATGTAACTACATGCAAGAAAACCCCCCTGCTAAAACTCTATGTTAAACATTGAGCTCTAGAATCATTCTTCAGTGAAATCAGTTAATGTTCCCCAGATAAAGAAGAGTAGCACACGTTTTATTATGTTAAACATTTGCAACCATGTGGAAGATTCACTTTAGCATGCTAAAAGGCCCAGGCCTATGTGCTGTCTTTCCTCCTTCAGACTCGCCTAGGTGATTCCGCAAACTGAGCAACTAACTTAGCTGCAGACCCAGCTGTAAAACAGCATAGTAAAGGGCAGGAAGAATTCCATCTTGAAGATAAGATTGTATTTTAACACCCAGGAAGTTCAAGAGGCAGGATTCTTTAGCAAGTGGACAATACCTTGGCCCACCTTGGGAGCTGAGCAAGCAGCCTTTTGATATGCTTCCGGACCCAGGTGCCGGTGTCCCGGAGAGAAATCAAGGCAGGAAATTCCTTATGTTAAGTTAATTTTTAATATTCAGGGCCCACTTAAGAAGTCCACACCCCTAAACTCTTTTTCACGTTCTCGAAAAATCCTCAACTGCCTATAAAACCCCTAGACAACGCACCAACACGGACTCTCTTGTCCCCTCCTGGCGTGAGCCAGGAGCTCTGTCCTTTCACTGTATCTCTAAATAAAAGCCTGTACCTTGCTCTCCTACCTTGACTGTTTGTGAAGCTCATTCTTCGGCTCCGCAAACAAGAACCCCGGCATCAATAGTACATGTACTATGAAGTACAGTCAGTATTCCACACTCATTATAATTGTTGCTTTCAGTTAAAGTCTGTCTCCCTCCAGAAAAATGAACAGAAGCCTCACGTTCACCTCTGATCTTGTCAGTACCTTCTGGGATATGGTAGAGCTTAAATACCAAATGGAAAACATTTTTCCAAAATGGGAAAACACCTTAACTGTTATTATTTTTATTAACTTTGTAAAAAAAAAAATACTTGAACGATACAAAATTACTTAGTTTCTGTGGAGCTGGGTCACTTCGTCAGCCATCCATCCTGTGTTTACCCGGTAAACCCTGGACTAATGGAGTAGATTTCCTCTCCAAGTAGAGGTAAGGCCAGGAAGGGAGGTGATAGGGTCTCAGAAAGCAGGGCAGCATCAAATGCTGAGTCAGATCCCAGCTCAGTAGGAGTAAATGCCGTGTTGATGGGACCAACTAGCAAATGCAAACACCAGCAAACCGAAGCAATATAACAAAGGTTCCTCCACAGCAAGATTTCTTCAGTGTTTAAAGTTGCTATAAACATCCATGACTATCTTTGGAACACCATTTGTCTGTTATTTCTATTTAATGAAAGCACAAGGGTTAGTTAACCAAAACTCACCTAAGAAACATTAACTTTCACTTCTGCATTTGGGTCCCAATTCACAAGTTCATCTGCTGGGAAAACAAACAAACAAGAGATCATTTCTTTTCCCTTCCTCTTACTGGAGAGGGAATCAGTCATTACAGGATTCCCAGGAAGATTTTGAAAAGCACTCGGATATTGGGGGATTGGGGCTGCAGTTTTCCAAATCTGTTAAACGTGGAAAGGGCCGAGCAAATAATTAATGAGGTTTCTTTCTTTTCCCCAGCCCTTAAAAGTTTCAGAACTTTCAAAGAGACACAGAAGCCAACCTGAAAGAGTTCCCAATGGTCAAAGGAGGAACAACTTGAGCAACAAAACAATGTGGTATTAAATTATAGCTCAAAGCATAAAATAAATATACATGAGCCCATAATGATATAAATGATTGAATAAAAAACTGGGAGAGAAGGAACAAATCTTCCCTACAGAATAATTCCAAATAATATATGTAGATATTCCCATATCCAAAGTTGAATTTTTATTCTCTCACCCACCTTTCTTGGGAGTACCCTGAACTTAGTGACCCCATCCAAAGAAGAGAGAGAGTATGGACGATAAAAATAGTACCTCTGCAGGAGGGTCCTGGCAGATACTACTTGAATCAAGTGGAAAAAGTTAGTGTCACTGGTAATAAGCGACCTTGCTGTCATGCACCCTCTGTTAGGAGGCTATGATGGGAAAGGCACTTCACTTTTGTGGTCTTCCTCCAGCAAACCCATAACCACAGTCTAATTATGAGGAAATCATTAGACAAAACCCAACAGAGATATCCACAGAATTGCTTGTTATAATTCTTCAATACTTTCTGTCAAAGTTAAGAAAAATAAGAAAAGGCTAAGACACTGTCACAGACGAGAAGATGAAACGGACGACATAAATGCTGCGTGGAATCCTGGATGGGATCCTGGACTAGAGAGATATTTATCGGAAAACTCGTAAAATCTGTACAATGTCAAGTTTAGGTAACAGCAATGAACCAATGTTGATCCCTTAGTTTTGACCCATGTGCCTTGTACACATGTAAGGTGTGAATATTACGGGACACCGGCCCAAGGGTTCACAGCACTCAGTACTATCTCTGCAACTTTGTCGTACATCTAAAATGACTTCAAAATGAAAATGTTTATTATAAACCACAAACGCTGATGAACATGAGAGCAAGCAGAACTCTCTCGGACAGCCGTGGCAATCCGCCTTGGGCTCCGCCGAGGAGCGCGCGGCGGCGCCGGGGGCGCGGGGCGGGGCGTGCGCGCGCCCGGAGCGCAGGAGGCTCCTCCCCGGAATCACCGCGCCCGCCGGACTCTGCCCGGGGCGGGTCCCGCAGGGCGGGGCCCGGTCTGCCGGCGGCGGGGCCACCAGAGGCCCGCGGAGGCGACCCTGGCCGGCGCGAGAGGAGCGCCGGGACCTCGCGTTGGCGGAGCGCCCTCCCGGGTCGGGGGGCCTGCCCATCTGCCGGCGGCGCGCCCCGGTCATCCCAGGTGAGTGGCTGTCCTGGTGCCCTTGGAGCCACTTCCCTCACCGCGACTCGGCGCAGGTCGTTGGTGAGGAGGCTGTTCCTCCCTGTGCGCTTCTCTCCTGGGCTCGGATGCGCTGGGCCAGAAGGCTCTGCTCCTCCGGGAAGAGAAAGAGTTGCTTTCCCCTCGGAAAGGATGGCCCCTCCTTAGCTCGATGCACACCTGCTTTTTTAGGTTGCTGTTATGAAATCCCTTTGCCACGGGTCGCCGCGATTCAGAGGCCGTGGAGAAGGCCCTCCGGAAAACTCGCTCGTCTGTGTCTTACCCTTCATTCATTCGTGCGGGCTTCTGCAGTTGTAGGTGTTCCAAAAAGAGAACAGCCCATTGGTTGACAGTTTCCACTGTCATGGGCTGTTAGAGCTGGAAGTTACAGAGACCTAGGCAGTTGTACAAAGGAACAGTACTACTGAAAAATGGTACAGGACAGTGCAAGGTAGTTTCTGGATTGGCTGACGACATGGCTGTGAATTTCCAGCCTTCTGCAAAAGGAAAACACACACGCACACACACATATAGAGAGCATAAGAATCAGAAAAAGCAGTTAGCCCCAAGCATAACCGAAGCTGTTTATCATTATATTATAGTTTTAGGAATCAAAACCTCCTTTACTTTATTGTTACATATAGGCTAGATGCAGAGTCCAAAAGGGAATGATTCTGCATTTGCAAAAGAGAAAAGATAACCTGTCCTTTCTCTGTTACCTGATGCTATTAAATATTCAGTTCTGCAGAAGCTTGGTTTTTCAGAAATATGATCCGAGCTGGAGTCACAGGTACCCTGGCAGACACAATTGGTGCTTTGTTTCCTGTTGCTTACCTGTCCCCCACCTCTCCCCCTGCATGCTGGGAGTTTTGAGAGTGAACATTACTGACCCAGAGGAATTTGTGCCTAAGGCAGGGAATACCTGTGTGGTTTCTCAGCTGCTTCCAAAAGATTGAAAAAGCTTCCGCGTCCCACGACCCTGGTGAACTTCGTAAGAAGGTTCCCACTTTTGTGACTGGCTAAATTTAGTATGTACACCAGCACTAACTAAAAGGAGACTTTTAACATACAGACACCGGTGGTATTATTCACCTTTATGATTTTGTGAATTAATAATAGGCATGCTATTTGTTACCTTACTGATTTACAATGTGCTGGACAGTGAGCTTGAGTTGTAACCCAAATTCTGGCCAAAGCTGAAAAATGGGAGCTACATTTGGCCAAAAATGAAAAATGAGGTATATATTTATTTGCTTGGGATAAGGACTGATACAGGACAGAACTGAAGCTTTTGAAGGACATTTAAAAGTTTTTTAAAATAATGGTTTCAAATCTTTTTCACTGAGATATTTACATCAAAATTACATGGCAATTTATTGACAGAAAAAAATTTTGTGATGGCAAAATGTTACTGTCAATTTAGTAACACATCTAAGTGAATTTACATTTTACTAAGTATGAAAATTGTGATTTTCTAGATGGGTTTGGAAAACAAAAAATGTGTGTGTACATTCAGTTTTAGAAAATATTTGGTCTGTGGACTTGTGGGCCTATTCATGCCTTCTTTGAACCGATATTTACTGTGTGCCTGTTGTGCAGGGTACCATGTTCTATGTTGGAGATGCAGGGGAATACATCCTTGTGTAAATAAGACACATTCCTGTCCTCATGGAAATCCCCCAGCATTGGAGTCCTCCAGGACACCCTGAGACCATAAATTAGGAACCACATCAATGTTGACAATGACTGAAACTAGATTTGTTTCAGATCACACTCTCTCTTACACTGATTTAAATACTCAAATCTAAACGTTATGGAGGCATTTATGTGTTATTTAGGTTGGTAGTTTTCCCTTTTGCTGAGGGTGGGGAAGAAATTAGGAATCATATTCTGGGTTTAATATTATGATATACTGAGATATTAAACCTGAAGAACTAAATATCAATTCCATGCAAATTAAACAAAAACTAAACCTGTGGTAGTGGATACCAATGATATGGGGGAAGAAATCAATGAATGAAAAATTTTAAGTCAAGAAGATTCTATCCATCAAATTAGTTTTTCCTGTAAATTAGAAATCTATGACTACAATTATATTTTTCCCCAGAGGAAAAGACTAACTTTGTTCAAGGCTTTCTTGCTTTTTTTTTTTTAAGCAGCTTTATTGGAGGCATAATTTATGAAGTATAAAGTACATCCGGAGAGTGTACAATTCAATGATTTTCAGTAAATGTACAGAACTACGTAGCTGTCTCCACAATCCATTTTCATCATCCCGGAAAGATCCCACGTGCCTGTTTGCAATCACTGGCCATTCAGCCCCAGGCAACCACCTATCTACTTTCTGTCTCTTTAGATTTAATGTTTTTCAGGCATTTCATACAAATGGGATTATATAATATATGGTCTTCAGCATCTGGCTTCTTTCACCTAGAATACTGTTTTGAGGCTCATTCAGATTGTAGCGGTAGCTGGATCCTTTTTATTCCTAATACTCATACCATGGTATGTCTCTACCACATTTGTTCACCAGCTGGTGGACATTCACATTTTAATGGTAAGACAGATACTTTGGACCAGCTTCCAAGGTAGAATATTAAAAAATAACTGATAGAACCCAACCTCTTACTTATATTTATGAAAAATATATTCCTGGTATGGATTACTGGTACTTTCTGAATGTGATATAACTGTGACCTTTCTGTGATACTCCCATGAAAATCGTACACAGTGTACTCGTCCAAGTCCAAGAACGCATCCGTCGTTTAGCATTCTAGGTTGCACTTGGAAGATGTTTAACTCTTGGCATTAATATTTATAAAGAGCATACATTTCCTGTGCTATATTTTCTCCACAAATGGCATGCCTTTAGAGTTGGGGAATTTCAATGATTGTTTGACTTAACAATGATAATTGAAGTACTCTTAAAAACATGAATGCTTCTTAATGACTCATATTAGTGGCTCACATCATAAAGGGTGAGTCATGCATAGTGTAAGGCAAAAAGTGGAAGGGAGTGCATCTGGATTTATATGATTTAGTTTTATCATTTTGTAGTTTCTCTGGCTGTGCTGAAGAATGAGCCTGATACAACAGTTTTGGTTTATTTATCAAAAGAGGCACTGGTTTGAGCTCTTAGATCAGAGTAAATCCAAAACAGAAGAAATGTCACTCCTTTTTTCTCATGGACCTTAAGAGCTAAACCAAAATTTTAAATGATTTCTGGTTCCTATGAAGGAGTGGTGTCTTTCTGTGTATAGTCTAGAGTCTAGAAAACAAATCAAGTAAGAACTTTAAAACACTGCAAAAGCATTGACTTTTAGTCCACTTCTTTCAGGAATCAGGAACCTAGAACCTTCTATAAAAAGTTGGGAGATTTATGAGCTAAAGAGAAGACTGATGCCTGTAAGTTACTGCTGAAATTGCAGTTCCTACTGGTGAAAAAAGAGAGCATTAAAATAACTTGAAGGTCTATTTTACTGATGACTAAGAATGAAAAGAACTTAATTTTTAAACTTCTAAAATTAGGAAACAGAGTCTTCATTAAAAAATACAGTTTTCCAACGTTGGATGTGCTTATTTGGAGCTCAGTTTTTCTGCCTGACATATGAAAACAACTTGCTAAAACTCCTGGATGGGAACACTGTAGTCTTGAGGATCTGTGATTAGATGAATTTATCAGTCTCTATTGGTAATGTTTCTTCTTTTTAACTTGGTAAGGGTTTAAAAATTTCTAAAACAGATGCAGTTTTTCTAGTCTTACACTGACAATATCATTCCAAATGTCCTCTGAGGCATACGCCAATTACAGGAGTCCATTTTCATCTGTCTAGCCTCCATACACTTCAGAACTGAGCGGGCACACTCCCTGTATTATTTCCAGTTCACCAACAGGAAGACAGCTCGGCTCCATCAGCCTTGAGCTGTAAACGGTCTTCTAATGTGTTTGATCCACTCACTCACTCATCTTTTATGTTGACACAATCTGGCATAAAGAACTTAGTTTTACCCAGAATGAGAAGCTCCTTCTCATCTTTGTATCTTTCTGTTATCGCCTGGATTTTAGTAGGATCCTGAGCTCCAATCAGTATGATGTCTTCCTGATGAGGAAGGGTGCAGGCAGGTACCTGCAAAGCATAGTGTCCAGGGTGCTTCCGGTGGTGGCCATCCTGAATAAGCTTTGTCATCACTGACCCAATAGTCTACATGCAGATGGGCAACTGCAAAGAATGAGAACTTGTTATACATTTAGGAACCTATTAGGGAAGGGATGGGTAAGTGAGCTGAGTTCCAGGTTCATGAATTAGATTTAAATCTTGTTCTACATATTCTTACATGCTTCTTATATAGTCTTAAATATTTCCTCCTACTTTTCCACCTTAGTAAATAATAAATATGATTAACTTTTTTAAATGTTTAGGATTTCCCTGGACATCTGTCACCACATTAATGTCAGGCTTCACTGACTAGTGTAGCAGCAAATTTCTCCCTACCTATCTGCAGCTTCTTAACAATCCTGATTCTGCTGCTATTTTTTGACATTATAATTCTGTGGGTCAATAATTTGAATGAAGGAAACGAAATCCAGCTAATTGTGGCTTCTGGTTATTTACAATAAAATCAATGAATGTCCTTAGATTTTGAAATTGCAATTGCAGTTGCAATTGTACTTTGCTTTTTTTAAGGTATTTAAAAAAAATAAAAGTGTATCTTTCTATTGATAGACATAAAAATAGATGTAGATATATGGATAATAATTATACCACTGCATACTATAATGGTTAAGTAATGATTTTTTGGTAGATGGCATAATGCTTTGTCCATAGTATGTGTTTGCATATTGTGTTTGTACCAATATTTCAATTCTTTTATTTCACACCTTAGAACTTTCTACAACTCTGGCTATGGCGTAAATATATGTGTGTGTACAGATGAGTAGCATTTACAAGTGAATAAAATTAATTCTACTTTAAAAATCTTAGATTATTACTTAAAAAGTTTGTATTGCTAGGGTTCAGAGTTCACATGCATGTCTTTGCATCTCCGGTACATCATTTTCAGGTAACCTGCACGGCCACCTGAGATTTAGCCAGCTGACACTGGATGTCACCATTGTGCTGTGTGACATAGCTGCAGAGCAGGTGTGCGGTTTAATATTCAGGAAACAGCCTCTTCAAGTGTTTGGAGGTGTGTTAGCCTTTTTCCCCTCCTGTAATCTAAGTACCCTTTCACTGTAGCACTTTTTATTGTAACTTACTTTTTCAGTTTCTAATATCTGAGCTCTGTATCATAGTGACGGGGAATGATGAAACAACATTTAATATTGTTAGCTCAGAACTGAGAAACTGAAAACTCAGAAACTGTGCAAAGAAACCATCAGGGCTCTTGGTTGCAAACCAGAAAATTGACTCTGGCTAACTTAAGTAGAAAAGGAATTTCCTGGAAGAATTGGGAGCAGCATCCAGAAATGGTGGGAAAACTAGGTTTGGGAATGGGAGAATCCAGGGTGCTGGTACTTCAGCAAAGTTCAGGCTGTAGTTAAGGCCTTCTGGCATTGCCTCTGGTCAGGAGATACAACCACTGGTGTTCCTGCCACTGGACACACAGCACCTCTCTGTGCCAGACCCCTTCCCTTCCCAGAATGAGGACGGGGTTTTCACTGCTTCCAGCTTCAGCTCACCTAAGGGCCAGTCCCTTATGGGCATTTGCAGGTGGGAGTACTCTGTTGCCCCAGGGAGGGAGGAAGAACAAGTAAGGGGCCTTTCTTGCAGACCCATACAGATGGTGGCTCTGCATAGCTGAGAAGGGGATTCACGCGCCAGACAGCCACAACATGCCACTCTTCCACCGCGGTCCTGTTCAGTCGGCACCCGCCAAGGTGAGCTGAGAGCACCGCTGTGTGCTCAACGGGACCTTTGCCTGCTCTGTGGACTGACTTGGAGTCAGCTGTATATGCCTGTGGCACCCAACAGTGCCCCCGTTTGCTGCACCCTTCCTTTCCTTCAGCCCAGAGGGAACCGCACCAGCCAGAGCTACAGCTGTTTCCGGGAGCTAAGGAGACAACTCTGGAGGTCTTAACAGGTTTCAGTCTATTAAGAAAAAATCCTGCTATTAAAAGAAAAAGAAAAAAATATGCTAGGCAACCGTGCACCTTGTTTTTAGGACACTACTTCACTGCTTCAGGCAGGTTCCTGCCTCTGCTCTTGCCTCTCCTTTGCCCGCATTCTTTTTCTCCCAGAGGACCACACAGCCTCACCTCCTTTCATTCGAGTCTTTTGCTTAAATGCCACCTCTCCAGCTTGGACTTCCCTCACCACTCATCCAGAGCAGCACCTTCTTCTATTCTGTTACCCTGCTCCACTTTTCACCATAACGCTGTCACCACCTGTCCCCTAAACATTATGTCCCCTAAACATTTGCTGTTTTGTTTAATGTTTGTTTCCTCCTCTGAACTGTAAGTCCCACGAGGGCAGGATTTCTGGCTCATCTCTGTGGGCACAGCTCCTGCCCCTGCTGTGCCTGATCAGTATTTAATGTATGGATAAATGAGTGAAGAATTAGATAAAGGAAGGAAAACACTTTTGTTAGACTCTCTAGAATATAAGCGGTGCCTGTACTCATTTCCTAGGGCTGCTGTCACAAAGCACCCCAAACCGAGTGGCTTGAACATAATTATTTCTTGTCTTACATTTCCGGAGGCTGGAAGTCCAAGACCAAGGTGCTGGCAGGGTTGTTCCTTTTGGGGACTCTGAAGGAGAATCTGTTCTATGCTGTCCTCCAGCACCCGGTGGTTTGCTGACAAGTCTGGCGCTCATTGGCATGGCGAAGTATCACCAGATCTCTGCCTTTGTTTTCACATGGCATTCTCTCCGTGTGCATCTGTGCCCAAATCTCCCCTTTTGGTGAAGACACCAGTCTTGTTGGATTGGAGGTCCACCCTACTCCAGTGTGACCTCATCCTAACTAATTACATCTGCAATGAACCTATTTCCAAATAAAGTAACATTCTGAAGTGCTGGGCAATAGAATTTCAACATATGAATGGGAGGGCAGGACAAAATTCAGCCCAGAACAATGCCTGTGTCTTTATTGTATCATGGCTCAGCCATCCTTCTGTCATTAAACAGAGAAGTAGGTTTGGTTACATTACTCTGGGTGCCCGCCTGGTCACGTGTTGGTTTATCACACAGGTGGATTACCGTTCACAATAATGTATAATTGCTTTGTAAATTATGAAGTATTCATTAGCTGTTCACGTAATCAGTTTGGGATGTTGGTGAATTATTGATGCATTATCAAGAAAGACCCAATACCATGGATTTGCTAGTCTCAAAATCCTTAAAGCTGATTTTCCTTTATAGCCTAGCTCTATCTGCAGACTGTTTAAATATTAGCTGGCTGTCATTATTATTATCATTCTTATTATTAGCTGGTTATTATTAGCTGTTAAATATTCTTCTCTATCACTCAAACCACTTGTCAGCAGTAATTGTGGATAATGGTATCATGTTTTATTCACTCCTTCGACAAATGCATGCAAATCATTTATTATGTGCTAAGTACTGTTATAAGTGCTTGGCAAATGTTAACTCGCAAGCCACCCTGTGTTGTTTATTATTTATGTTATTATTAATCATTGGTGACTAATATTATTACTGTTATCTGCATTTTATTGATAAGGAAAGTGATGCACAGAGAGGTTAAGGAAGTTGCCCAAGGCCACCCAGGTGCTGAGTGGCAGAGTCAGGCCATGAAACTAGGCAGTCGGCCTCCAAACCTTTTAGTTGTAAAACACTTACCTCAGAAGTCGTCTCATGGAAAAATTCAGTGTGTGACAGAACAGAGCAGAGATGCTTTGGTTCAAGTCCAGACGGCAAAGCCCTATTGCTCGTCGCCTCCCGTTCCTGTTTTCAAAAGCCCTATTTAAGAAATAACACCAATTGGCATGATGCCACTTGTAAGCTGTCTTCAATCCACTCTAGCGTAAACAAATAAAATTCTTTTTTCACTTTAATTAATGGATTGTGTTTTCTTTTGAAAATTTTATCTCCCTAATCTACTTCTGGCAGAAATAAAATGCTAAGATGGATTTTCCCCAGGATGATAATGCCATATGGCAATTTGGACTTTGCTGGCTTAAGTTCCCCTTGGGTTTCTTTGTACAAATCAAGGATTGTGGTCATAAAAGTTTTCTGAGCCAGAGAGAAGTGGAATTTCAATTCACATGAATAGAGTTGGATATAAATTTTGCAGATAGTCATGAGCTGTGCTCTCTGTCATAGGCTGCTTGTCTTCTCTGGTTATTAATAATATAAAATAATAGGAGCAACAATATTAACCATTACTGTCAATTTAGTGCTTTCTGCAACCAGGGATTTAAAAAACCCTCATTTTTACAACTCCAGGTGTTATCACTCGTATTTTACAGATATGTAAATTGAGACCAAGATTTTAGATAACTTGTTTAAAATGGCCCAACCAGTAAGTAAAAGAGGTAGGGTGTTTGGAGAAATCTCAGTAATTGAGGAACAGAATTCCTTCCTTGATCTTAAGAATAAAGGTCATGTAAGAGAGTTTATTTTAGGATGTATAATGTGAGGCCCCATGTGTTTTCCAAATTATGAAGGACTGTGAGAATGTAGTGGGATCCAGTCTAAAGAGTGATTAATTCCTATGATGAAATGCCTCTTTCCATTTCTTAATGTACACAATATATAGCATACTACAAAAAAAAAAGAAGATTAAATCAATCTAATGGAACTGTAGATCAAAGGGGATGGAGCTGGGGAACAAAAACTGAGACCAGATTGATGGCTCTGCTTGCTCCTATTTTCCCATTGGTTTACCCCGTGCCACACCCTCACTCAGGGGTCAGCAGACTTATTCCGTAGAGGACCAAATATTTTAGACATTGCTTGTCTCATATTTTCTCTGTCGCAACTACTTGACTATGCTGTTGTAGGGCCAAAGCAGTGTAGACACCCAGTAAATGAATGGCTGTGGTTATTTTAGAGTAAAACTTCACTTATGACACTGAAGTTGGACTTCCTGTAATTTTCATTTGTCATGAAATGTTATTCTTTTGATTTTTTTTTTGAATGATTAATAAATGTAAGAACCACATAGTTCATAGGCTTTCCAAACAGGGGAGGCCAGATTGGGCTCATGGGTTGTTTGCTGACCTCCCACCTCTGGTTTCCAGACACGTTGCTTATTGTCTCTATGGGCGTTTCTTTTACTTGCGGCATTTAAATGCAGTTTTGCATCAAGACTTAATCCCAATATCAGGCAACAGAGGTACTTCCACTTACATTCTGCCAAAAGCAGGCGTGTAGAGCTGCTGCTGACGAATGAACTTCAGCCAGAACACACAGAAGCCATAGTGGCTGTCTAAGACGATTATGATAAATGGGAAATTCTCGATATATTCTGTCAGTTTCATCTATGATTAAAGGATAAACGCAAGCCTTGTGTTATCCCCCAGAAGCTGTCGAGTATGCAATATGAAAACTCTGTGCTTTAGCAGCACTGGTCATTGTTAAATTCTAAATAATTTTATTGTTGTTTTCTCTTACCAGGAAAGGTAGCCTTTCTGTGATGGAAACACCCTTGAACTTGGGTGTCCAAACGACAAAGGTTTGAATTTGAGCTCTGTTAGTTTTACTGTGATCTTGGGTAAGTGAACAGCACCTACGGGAGGCTTGGCTTCCTTCTCAGTAAAATGAGATTAATAATCCTACATCGTGGGGCTGTTGGTTTATTTTATTTTATTTTTTAATTCTTTACTATTTGTTATGGAAATTTCAAACAGAAACAAAATAGGTAAAGGAGCATGCTGAGCCCCTGTGCCTTTGTTCAGCTTCGCCAAGTCCTTGCATTTTGCTTAATGTCTTTCATCTTTACTCCACCCCATTTTTCCCTCTCTGCTAGAGTATTTAAAGGCAATTCCAAGAGTAATATTATTTCACTTGCAAATATTTCTTATGTATGACTAACAGATAAGATCTTTTAAAAGAATATCAAAATTCCATTACAACCCCTAGCAAAACTACAATGATTGTTGAACATCAACTTTCCCAGTTGTCTCCAAAATGTCTTTGTTTAGCTGGTTTATTTGAATCAGGAGTTAACGAACATTCGGATACTGCATTTGACCATGTGTCTCTTAAGACTCTTAATTTATGGAAGTTTCTTTTCTCTTCTCCCCATCTTTCTTCATCTAATTACTCTGTAGAGGAAGCTAGTTATTTATCTCAGAAAATTTCACAGAATTTGTGTTTGACTGATTCACCTTACAGAGTCATTGAACATTGTTCTCTTGTTCGATATTTACTCTTAGACATAGAGGCTAGATTAGATCCGCAGGTATGTTTTTTAAAGCATCCTTCATAGGTGGCGCTTTCCACTTGTGATTGGGCCACATCTAGATGACATAGGGTCTGGTCATCTCTTTTTTTTTTATTATTTTTTATTTTGGTATCATTAATCTACAATTACAGAAAGAACATTATGTTTACTAGGTTCCCCCCTTCACCAAGTCCCCCCTACATACCCCTTCACAGTCACTGTCCATCTCTGTTAGTAAGATGCTGTAAAATCACTACTTGTCTTCTCTGTGTTGCGCAGCCCTCCCCTTTGGTCGTCTCTTTTTTAGGTTAGTTATGTTACGTGTTTTAAAGTCACTCCAAATAATTCAGGTGGATATGCCACCAACTGGATGTCCAGATATACTCATGTTTTATCTGTTTCTCATTTTGGAGGATTTCCTTTTTTTTTCCCCCATTTTTATTTGGTTTTATTTTATACCTAGGTGAAACAACTATATTCTTCAATGTCAAAACTATAATTCACCAATTTTCTCCATCCATCCATCCCTCCCTTCTTGTAGAAATTATGGTGCTGTACATCCTTCTCTGCACCATGACTTTTCACTGACTCTAAACAGTAGATAGTTTGACTCAACCAGTCCTCCCATGGGCATTTGGGCTTTTCCCAATCTTTTACTATTACAAGTAGTTCTTTAGTAAATGGCCTTTACAGGCTATTGAGAGTTAAATAAATTGCATCTGTTAAATGTTAGTCTGTGTGAAGTTTAAAGTGATATACATACATATATATAGGTGAACACGTGATTTTGTTGCAAGTATATTATTCTAGTTCTACAGACATTTATTAAGCACTCACAATGTGCTAGAATGTAAAGATGAATAAGACGTAAGAGTCTCTACTCTTAAGTCTAAAATGTGGAATAAAAAGAAAATTTTCACATTTTTCCTTAGATAATTTAATTTCTAAGTTGCTAATCAGTGTTTGTTTCAGCAGCTATCATTTTTTATATTAAATTAATTCTTGGATTTACAGATAAATATACAGAAATAAATAATTTATAATATTTTCTCCTATATCTGATTACAGTGCTAATACAGAACTTTCAGTTTATAAACCACATGATCAGAGAAGTCAGTTTTGTCTAACAGATTTATGTTTTCAGGAGGCCAGAATTCACAATGACAACAGTAACAGTGACCACAGAAATTCCCCCAAGGGGTAAGGCAGAAGATAATTCTGCCTTGTATGAGTCCACATCAGCTCACATTATTGAAGAAACTGAGTATGTGAAAAAGGTATGTGAGACCTGGAAATCATGTCAGCATAATAGGATTTTTCATAGGGCTTGGTGGGCTTTGTTTCTTCCTCCATAGGACACGTGAGGAAGAACAAACCTAGTTTGGCAAAGGACAGTCTTGATAGCTGAAATTTAAACTCATGTTTAGTAGTTTCTCTTGAGGATATGAACTTCTGCTCCTACCTTGGAGTAACATTGAATAATGGGCCAGAAGGGTTCAGAACCCCTATCAGCACTTTGTCACACAGTATTCACCACTGAACTTCCTACTGTTTTATATCATTTCTCCATTGTTTCATGAGTGTTGACATTACGTTTCCAAGTAGGTGTTTGCACTTACTGTAGAGTTTCTGTCTTTCCTTACCTGTACCTTTTCACAATTCAGGTTTATTACCACTAATGATTACATGCTGGCATGTTACTTCATTAAAGCTGTGAAATCTTTTGGGGATCCAATGATCATGGCTGACAGAAGTATATACTTTATGAAATGTTTCTTTGAACAGAAGAAAAAATTTGGACGTAGATAGTCTGTAACTTATTCAGATCGATTAATTTATCTTTGAGTGTCTTGCAATTCCATAGGTCACCAAGACATGGGACTTATTTTTCATGCATAAATTCATATTATCTCCTCTTAGTAATTATTCTGTAGTAATTACTAAATAGTAATTATTCTCTAGTAATTACTGGATAGCAATTATTTTGTAGTAATTACTAGATAGTAATTGTTTTGTAGTGATTCTAAATAGTAATTGTTTTATAGTAATTACTAAATAGTAAATTAGTTCTAAATTACTACATAGAAGAAAATAGAACTAAATGGTATTAAATACTAATTACTAAATAGTAATTATTTTGAAGTATAATATGCATTTAGGTAATATATTAGGTTTGACTGAGAAATCATTACAAAGACCAAATGCTCATTTTCTGCAATCTCAACAATCTTAGCCTAAATTCAAGTTAGGTTTATGGCACTAATTTACATCTGAGAGCAGTATACATGTATTACTTTCTAGTAAATCCAGTACACTGTATCTGGTATAGAGGAAAAAAAAGTATTTGGCATTAAATACCTTTGAAAAAAATATAAAATATTTTTTGCTTCTAGATTCGAACTACTCTGGAAAAGATCCGAAATCACATTTTTAAAGATGACATAGGACACAACAGTGCAAATCAAAAACTGAATATAAAGGTAAAGAATTTATCAACATCTACCACTTTATTCCTGCAGTGCATAAAAATAAAGTCATATAGACTATATTTAAATAACTTTTTATGATTATTAAATTATTCTTTGAAGCTTTTAACAATCTGCACTTATCCTTGCTGGGTTATGCCAAGTTAAACCTCAGGAGAAGCCAGGTGTATCTCATCAATGTCATTGCTACCCACTCACTCTGTGGTATGACCACAGACTATATACCAGAACATAGGGTATGAGGCATAAACCTCATCTCTATCATCCTCAGCCTCCCAGACTAATACAACTAGCTCCAATTATTTTCTTAAGTTAAGTGCTTGGAAACTGGAAAAAGGTTAATGTTTGTGAATGGGAAAAAACAGAAACTCAGTTTGGGCTGTGTTAAGTTGCCTATTGGTCCTCCAAATGGAAGTTTCTAATGGGTGGCTGGATGTCTTATTCTGGAGTTAAGGGTAGAGGTCTGGGTGAGAAGGTCCAGGCTACCAAGTAGAGATTTGGGGAGAACAGATGGTATTCAAAGTTCTGACACTGGAGGGGATTACCAAATGTGTGAGTGTGGGAGTTCCTGAAATTTCCAATATTTAGATGTCGGGGAGAAAAGAACAATCATCATCACTGGAAGCTGAGAAAAGAAGCTAACGAAATAGGAGGAAAAACAGGAGAAAATGGTGTCACTGAAGACAAGTGAGAAAGGGTTTCAGAAAGTGGGGAAGGACCACTGTGCCAAATGTTGTTCATAGGTAAATTGAGGACTAAACCTTGACCATTGTAAATAGCAATGTGGAGGGAGGGGGGCTGTTGGTGACCTTGGTAGGAGGAGCTCTTAGAAAATAAATATGAATTGTGCTGCCAGGGTGTCTGCGTTGTTGGCCATCTCAAACCACAGTAGCGCAGCAGATAGACCAAGCTAAAAAATACCAGCCCCTTCCCCTTCAGTACTTGGGCAATGTGCCTTTTAGGATATAGCCATAAAAGATGTAAGGCTTTGCTACTCTCAGTGTAGGGTCTGTAGGTTCAACAGTGTTAGCATCAAGGAGCCTTTTAGAAATGCAGGATCTAGAGACCCTCCCCCACCCCTTCTGAATCAGAATCTGTATTTTAACCAGATCTGTCACAAGTGATAGATATGTACATTCAAGTTTCAGATACACTGATCTGTGACTTTGTAGCTATCTACCACTGCCAGTAATCTACGTACAGCAACAGTCTTTCTGTCAACTAGTTTTTAACAAATTAAAAAGAAAAAACAGAAAATAAATAAAAAAGAAAAGAAAGTACTCTGTACATGGAGAATGAGAGTATACTGAGAGTATACCAGGGTCTGGAGTAGAAAAAAACAAAACCAGGACAGAATTATGGGAACTCTATTATTTATAGACATTGTATTCTTTTTGTTTTTTATTTCTAAAAATGTAGCCCATACATTGTACTGGAAAGAAATACAGGCTTTGTTGTTAAACAAACTTGGATTCCAATGCTGGTTCTGGCAGTTATGGCCTTGGCCTTGTTTAATGACTCATTTCAATTTCCTCATCTGTGCAATGGACATAGTGTCTGCCAGTGTTTGAGTACTCAAAGGAGTGTATATAAAGCACCTAAAAGACTATCTTGCACATAATAGATGCTTAATAAATAGAAGTTGTTATAATTATAGGGAATGTGTAATTGCACAATAGTTCCTCTGTCTTGATAATTTGGAAGAGCAGAAAGGATAGGATGGACAATCAAGAGACTGTCTCATGAGCTCTCTCACTCACCTGCTATGTAAACTTGGGCTCTGTACCTCAGTGTTCATATCTGTAACATTGCTGTGACTGAGTTAAATGGTTTCAGATTTCCTTTCCACTTCCACATGCCCTTGATGGTATTTGAGAGTTATTTTATACTTCAAGTGTATTTTCAGTGAGCTAGAGCTTACATAGAGTTACACTGGCAATAATATTGAAATCTCATATCTCTGATTAGAAATTCAGTATGGGATGATTACAATAAAGTATCATTGAATATTGCATACTGTATACTGTAACCATCAGGTCTGATTATATTAGTTTGTAATGCAATGTACACAAAGTGCATTTATGCTTACAACTTAGATTTTTTAAAAAACTGGCTTGGTGGGTGTTATCTCCTAAAAAGGCCTCAATAGTATACTTACAACTGTAAAAGTACAAAAGATGTCCCTCTACCTCTTTTTAATATGAGAATCTATTCAAATTTGAGCAAATAGAGAGGCCAGCTGCTTCATACAGAATTCCTCATTGATATTTGAGATTCAAAAGATTTATTTTTGATAAATCTTCCTTGATTTATATAATACTGAGTGATAACTATTATTGTTAAAATTTGTAGAGGAAAGGAAAGTCAGGTGTCTGATTTTCCATGTTTATTCATTTTAGCCCTGTGGGAACATTCAGAATGGCTGTGATTCTGAAATGGATTCCTCTTGTTGCAGCTGGGACCTGCTCATGGAAAGGGTGAAAGGAAAAAACCTACAGCTTGTAGAAATGAACAAAGAGAATGAAGTATTGAAAATCAAGGTATGACTGTTGGGAGACATTTCTAGTTTTGTGTTTTGAGCCTTTGAGCCAAAAGCGCAGATTCGTGGATCTGTGAAAGCAGACAGACATCCACACACATCCAGAGACCTGACATGCGCTCACATGTAGAGAAGCATTTTTCTATTTCATAAGTTAAATTTCACTGTTTTATTTTAGACACTACTTTTATTATTAAAAAGATCTTACAAAAGTTCAGCAGGTATAAAGGTTCAGTTGTGTGAAATGAATGAATTCTAGAGATGAGCTCTACAACATTGCTCCTACGTTTAATATTATAACACACATTTAAAAATTAAAGAGGGTAGGTCTCATGCTGTGTTCTTAGTATAATAAATTTTTTTAAGTCTTTACATATTTAATACATATTAATTAGAGCACTCATAGTCAAATATCTCATTATTTTGTTGAGTTCCTCTATTGTTGAAGGCTTTATATTTCCATTTTTTTGGTTCATTACACATGCAGTCCTGCTCAGTAGGTAAATCTTTGCAGCCATTGTTTCTTTAGATTAAATCCTTGAAAGATTCATCAGACTTTAGCTTTACTGGCCTTGGTACTCCAATCTTGTCAGGAAGATACATCTTTTAATACTGTTGTGGATATATGATAAAAGGCTTGCAAATGAGTGGCTAAGCTGATAGGGCTTTGGAGGGTGTGGCCTATAAACGTAGAGCACCGACTGCAAATCCGCCTGCATGACAAGGTGGGGGCTTCTCATTTTACGTTTCCCTCTTCCCAGGTAACAGTGTCTTTTCTCCTATCCATTGTCTACATGGGTGCAAAGGGTATACTTACGGCCTCTGTGTTTTTAGCTGCCCATCAAACTGTTCTACCTTTAATCCTTTTTACTGTAAATGTCAAAACATGCACAGCGATCTTTTTTTTTTTTTCCCAGTTGGAAGCCTCTAGAGAAGCAGGAGCAGCGGCTCTGAGAAATGTGGCCCAGAGATTATTTGAAACCTACCAAACACAGTCTGCAGAAGTTAAGAAGAAGTATGAGGACAGTAAACGCCTACTCCAGGTATGGAGCTGGCAGCTTGTCTGTCGGAGAACTAACATCCAGCAGGTCACGTCCCTCTTTTTTAGAGTTAGATGTGTAACAGTGGACTTGGCAAGCCCCTCTGGACTTGATTTCCTTGTCTCTAAAATGAAAGAGTTGGGCTAGATATGTGTTTTCAAAGTATTTTTGTTCCTAGAATACATTCTTCAGGCTAAACAAACCAAAAACATATATGTATGTGTACCTATGTATTTTAAAATATGTTAAACTAATATATTTCATATTTTAATACGTAAATATTTAAAAATGTAAAAACCATAAATATGTATATGTGTGGGTGTGTGGGTGTATATATATATATGTATATATATATATCATAGACACACACACATTCTTTTTTTTAAGTCTGAATGATACATTCTGGACCAATAAGACTCTATCTATAGAATATATACTGGAAAAGGGGAGAAAAAAGTGTGTGTGTGTGTGTGTGTGTGTGTGTGTGTTTGCCAAAACTCAACTGGGAAATTTTTTCATGCTGTGTTAGGGTGCCTGGGTGTCTGCCATCTCAGGCCCTAGGAAGGTCCCCAGGGGAGAGCAGTAGGGAATTCGCATGTTTTCATGCCTCAGGATGTAGTGATAACGGTCACAAACTCCCCATGCATGCAGATGCAGATGAAGAACCTAGTCCAGTGAGCAGGCTTGTGTGGACCCTCTGTGAGCAGGCTTGTGTGGACCCTCTGTGTGGGCGGTGGGTCCGCAAGGGCTGGAGTGCAGATGTTTCCGCAAAGGGGGTCAGCCCACCCTGGAGCTGCCCAGCAGGACTCCCACCTGGTGTTTTCAAGGGAAGCCAGACACTTTTTTTATACCATAAAATCTCAAGTTCCGTTAAATACAGATGAGTCTGTGCGTGTCAGTTAGAAGTCAGTGGAGGCACTCCCAAATGTGGCCTGTGGGCTGCCAGATGAGGACTTCTATGGCCTTCTAGCACAGCTCTTGCTATTTACCTAGGAAATAACCCCCTGATACCATGGGGATAATGATTCTGCTTTCATGACACTTTCCAATTAAAAATGAAGCATTTTTTTCCTGAACATATAAGATTTTAATTTTTGTTTTAGATAAGTTTTCTTGAGAAAAAGTCAAGATTTTGCTTTTCTTAGTGTCTCTTTTTCTTATCCCAGTTCAGGTGGTATGCTTTATGGTAACAAATGTAATTACTCTAAGAATAATATTTATATATTATGAATTCTGCTGTGATTTAGTATTTTAGTCCATTAGATTTATTTGGAAGGGAATACTGAATTCAAAAGACTAATTCTAAACAAGTGTGGGTTATTATTTTTTTTGGCCACTATGAAAATTACAGAGGGTGATAATAGCTGTACAAGTAAAATAAAAACAATAGTCTGACAGCTGTTTTTCTAACCAAAGGTTAACAAACTTGAAAAAGAACAGAAATTGAAACAACATGTTGAAAATCTGAATCAAGTTGCTGAAAAGCTTGAAGAAAAACATGATCAAATCACAGAATTGGAGAACCTTGTCCAGAGAATGGAAAGAGTAAGTACCTTGGAGAATTAAAGGGACAGGATCAGGATGAAAATTAAAGAAAATAACACTAAAACAAGATAACATTAGGTGGAGTGCTCTTTGCAACTCCTAAGACTTTAGGAACTACTCAGTGATGTTAGTTTCTTCCCTCACACATTTAATATGATCTGCACAGTTACTGATTTACCTCTACAAATACTGCAGTCACGTCAGTGTGAGTTTCTCTTTCTAAAAAATATATGGCTTAGAAAGGGGAACCAGGTGAGGCTGTAGATGGAAACAATGGAAAAGGTCATGAAATATACCTATTGCTAAGAATAATGTGGATCCCTGTAATCATAACATTTTTATGACTTACAGTCAGTGAAGTGTCCATTTTTTGGCCAAGTCAAACCTATGGCTGCATTAGGACAGATATAGTTCACACTGACAAATGACAAGCTATAGACATTAGAACTTTCAAAAGAGACAATTTAGGAAAGAGTAATAAGAGAACAAACATTGTAAGTTTCACGTAGTATTCCTGCCAAGTAGATGGCACTCCAAATATATACAAAAGGTGAGCACATAAATTTAATTTTGTGTGTCTCAGAATTTAAAATCCAGACAAGCCAAGGGATATTTTTAAATAGCAAAACAAATAGAAAATTGGCATCTTTGAAACTGAATTGGGGAGGGGCAGATAAGAATGTAGGCTTTGATTCACAGACACTGAGAAGTGACTAGTGACTACCATGGGGGAGGGACTGGGGTGGATGGGTGGGGAGCGGGAGGGAAATTAAAGGGCACAAAATTTCTCAGTCATAATATAAGTCGGTCATAGGGATGGCAGTACAGCATGGAAAATACAGCCAATGATTCTGTAACATCCTCCTATGTTGACAGATAGTAACTGTACTAGTGGGGGTTAGGGTTTAAAAATGTGTGTAACTGCTGAACACTGTGTTGTATGCTTGAAACCAGTATAAGATTGTGTATCAACAATACTTGAATTAAAAATAGACTATATCTTAAAAAAAAGAATATAGGCTTTGACTTCTAATAAATATTGCTCCCCAAATTTTTATATTTATTTTATATTAGTTTTATTTAAATTATTTTATTTAATTTTTATATTAGTTCCCTGATTTGCCTCTGTTCTTCTCAGCCTTATTTTGTGTTATGAGTCTGCCTGAGTTGATGCCATTTTAGAAGTATCACTTCCAAAGCATCCCATTTCAGCATTCAGGTTTCTTGCCAAAGGAACTTTGATTAATTTTTACGTATTTCCCAAGAATCTAATTCATAACACTTTGGATTTGGTTGAGTTTTTACTCTTCATGAAGGTCTTATGTGGACATCACAAAAATTAAATTGCCCAAATTTAACTGAATTTAATAATAGTAATATACAACTATGTCCGTTGTGCAGTGGGTCTCTGAGAGTTTTACTTTAGCCAGAATCACTAGGCTAGAATGTCCTCAAGCAGCTAGTTTTCCCAGATATGACAGTTTATAATTATGATGTTTGGACATTTAGATGAATACTTTGTAATAAGTTATCCTGTAGTAAATAGTTTAGCAAACTGTGATAGCCCAAAGAATGTTTGAATTTCAGAAAGGAAGACAATTCCAGAAAGCAAATCAGGTTGATTAACCAGCTTGACACTTAAATTTAGACTTGGATCACCTCAAACCCAGTAATATGGGATCAGGGTTAGTGGCCAGCTGTCTGCTCTGAAAATTAGCTAAAGAGCAGTGGAATACAATTTCTATTTCCTACAAACTCTAGGAAGTCTGTACTAGATGTGAGTTTGTCTCAGAATTCTGGGATGCATTCACTCGACTGTTTATTCAACAAATATTTGAGCACCTTCCATGTACCAGGCAGAGCTAGAGGCTAGACATCGGTTGTGAGTGAACCAGGTATGGTCTCCATGTGCAGATCACAGTGTAGGACACCTGAGCTGTCTGGGACTCAAGACACTTCCCAGATCTCCCTTCTTTCATTCTGCTAGGGGTTCTTAGGGAGGCTGAGTATTGAAGGTAGGGGAATGTATCTCAGAATTAGGTTAATTGGGCTTAGATCCTGGCAGATATGTTTAGGAAGTGATGGCCTGCCTTTAACTTGATATTGACCTGTAACTGTGGGCTATGACAGCATAAGTGGACAGGGTGCCCATGGGTAAGCAAGGCCTTGCAGTAACCTTCCAGAATAGTCTAGTTCAGTGTTTCCTAGAATGAAGCCTACTGGAATCTCTTAGAGGTGGGTCCTTGAGTGCAAGGACAATGTGCAGGAGTTTTTTTTTTTTTTTAAACATTTCTGCTTTAAAGATATACTCTATTTGTAAGGCAAACAAACAAATAAAACCAAAGAAGCAAAGCTAGTGACATCTTAGTTGAAGGAAATACTGAGACTACAGGCTGTGTTGAAGGACTTCTTGGGTGGGGAGTGTGTATCAGAATGAGAGGTGGTGGATGCTGAGAACTTCGTACTAATAGAAAAAGACATAAGATCCAAAAGGAAATGAAAATTCAAAAATGAACATCCACTGTGAAGGCTGATAAATACTGCCCTGGTACTGGGTGGCCCCTGGAGAAGGATTCATTTTCTACTCACTTGAACAAGCCACTGCTCCAGTAAATAGCCATTAGTGGTATGAGGTCTGGTAATGAACACATTACTTAAAACCTTCACCATCTGTCGCACTTTAATCAGGAATGCAGTGAGAATGAATTCCATAAATACAGTGATAAGACAGCAGAAACACCCAATAAGAGCATTTTAATATGGCATATGGTCCTTTCGCTGGCTCTGTAATTCTCTTGCATCGTATTTGTTTTCCAGTGTCATTGATTTAGCTCTATTAGAATTTTAGAGCTCAAAGGCTCTTTGGAGAGCACCTAGTTCCTCCCCATCATTTTGTAAATGGGGATGTGCAAACAGGAACTACTCCACAGTCCATTCCCAGTTCAAATCCTTTCCGTTATGGCCCTACCTTCTCTGATGCCAGGTAACAATGATATCACTGATTCTGAAATCATTTAGATGTTAACATATGGCAGTGATTTAAATTGGTGTCCACCCCATCTTGGTTAATAACTCTTGAGCTCCCTAGTGGTATGGTTTGGGGAGAGGGGAATGCCTACTGGGAGGTGCTGTGAACTTCTTTCACTCTCCAGAAGACGCTGTCCCTGAAGTGCTAGCTGGTATAGTCTGATTTTCTCTGTTGTCAGAGAGGATGTGTAAAGAGCCCAGGCTACATGCTAGAGCTTTGGCCATGGCAGAATATTTACTGGTCCAGTCATCAGGTCTGCCTGAACTCTAGTTATGAAGGCCCATTAATTGGAAGTAACTCCATTAGGAAGAATGTTTACTTAATGATCATTTCCCTCCATACAAAGTCAAAATATTTTATCAGTGATGTGTTCTTTGTTGATCAAGTGTTGTCATAAGCTTGCAAGGCTTATCTGTGATCCCTCAGAAATAATTTGAACACAGTTAAAGCTACACCAGAACAATCCTATGTGTGACAAGAATGCTCCAGGAAAAATCTGAAAAAGTATAAATTTAAAAAATGAGCACATAAGATATAAAGTGTTTGGCAAATTAAAAATGTTATGTATTGAGGTCCTAATATGTGCCAGAAAAGCATGGAAACCTTTCATATATGTTATCTCCCATCATCCCAACATTTCAATACAGGTAATATTACCCTCACTTTACGGACATTCAAAAAGTCAAAAGCATGACTCAAACAAATAGAGAATGAGTACGTATCCTTGGATACCAACAGCTCAGTCTAATGCAGGAGAAGCAGGTGTAATGGTCGTAGAGCCAATGCTGAGAGATGAGCAAGCAGTTTGCATTTGGGGTGCAAGGGAGAGAGGCAGGAGATGTCTTACTGAGCAGGGGGTATTTCAGCAGTGGACTGGAGGAGGAGCAGAAGCGAGTGAGGGGAGTGAAGACAAGTAGTCCTGAGCTGTCATTGAGCTACTGGTAAACCGCCCAGGAGCATGCCCAATAGGCTTCGCTGGGGTGGGCTCTAATAGCACCATGTGAAATGAGCTCTTTAACTCAAAACGTATTTCTAGTATTACAAGAAGCATCTTTTGTGAACAGTCTGCAAGAATGCCTTACCAAACACACACACACACAGAAAAATAAGCAAAAATGATATTTTATTTTCTCCTAGGAAAAGAGAACACTGCTAGAAAAAAAACTGTCTTTGGAAAACAAGCTGCTGCAGCTCAAATCCAATGCTACATATACTAAAAGGTTTGCAAATCTACCTCCTGAGTAAAAGCAGTTTCTACTACCTTTCCTCTCCATTGGTCCGCCCAGCCTCCCCAAGGAAACAGGAAGCCTGAAAGTGCAGGAGGAAGGGCGATTTCTTAGGATTAATTGTGTGCCTCCCTCCCCACCCACAGGGACATCGGGAAGAGGACAGAGTTCACCAGGGGTAAAGGGAAACTGGTGGGAGGGTTAGTCATTCTGAAGAGTGAATGAGCCTGTGCCCTCCCTGTCCGCATTCCTAGAGGTTGTTGTTGGGATCTCAGCCCCCCTGATGCTGCTGATTCTGTTCATGGGTCTCTACCACAGCTGGCATTGAGTTGGCCAGCCTGCAGGTGGAATTACAAGATAGTTCTGTGGTGCTCCCCAAGTTTGCAGAGAATGAAGGAGCTACTTTGAAAAAGATCCTTAGTTCTTTGGACTTACAAATATTCACAGTTCACAAGCAGTCACAGTCCTTAGTGTGCTGGGGGTGGGGATGGGTTTATGTTTATCACCACAACTATCTTATGCTCAGCCACTGTTAGAACATGTCTCTGGAATATCATGGAATAACTCATATCCTAAGAAATTTCCTGAAGTTTTACTTTTCTTTTTTCTTCTCTCTTCTCTTCTAATGCTAAGCCTATCACAGTCATTTGATGTTTTGATATAATGGTTAAAAGTCAAATCCATTTAAAGATCTTATTTCATCCATCTAGAGCTGTTGCTCCTTCAGATAGCAACACAACTGTTATGAACCACAGAATGTACAAATTCTTACTCTCATTTGGTGATATTTTTTCAAACACTCCTCTCAGTCTTTTGATTTTTTTCTAGCATTTCTCTTTCCTGTTATCTGTCTTTCTCTTCTAATCTTCATATGCTGTGCCTTCTGTCTTAAAAGTCAAATCCATTTAAAGATCTTATTTCATCCATCTAGAGCTGTTGCTCCTTCAGATAGCAACACTGTTATGAACCACAGAATGTACAAATTCTTACTCTCATTTGGTGATATTTTTTCAAACACTCCTCTCAGTCTTTTGATTTTTTTCTAGCATTTCTCTTTCCTGTTATCTGTCTTTCTCTTCTAATCTTCATATGCTGTGCCTTCTGTCTGGCTTATATTCATGTATTGGACCAAAGTGCAGAACTGGGCTGACCCTGACAATTGCACATATGTATTTGAAACACACCAGGACACCACTAATATTAATTTCCCCATATTTTTCCCAGTGAACAAGCATATAGCCCCAGAAGGTGGTTTTCTGAGAGTTTCGTAGTACGGTATGTCTCTGTAGAGAATGAAGGAAGCTCTTGGAAAACATCCATAAGTCTTTGGAATTACTTACATATACTCATAACTTAACTTGAAGTAAATCTCCAGCTTGCCCATCTTTTTTTTTTCCTTAAAGTGAATTTTTCCATACAGCAGAACTATTGGCAGGTGGAATGTACCTTCCGTTAGGAGTCCAGACAATTTTAAGTTTAATTTTTTTTCCTTTAAAAAATGATTTTTTTATTGATAATAGGGTTGGTCAGTCTTTGAGCCAGAAAATATAACCACTTTAAAAACCAAACTGACCTATTCTTTCTGTTCTATTACATATAAGCAGTTGTTATAAAGAAGTCTCAAAAGATCTTAAGGTTTTAGAAATATCTTGAAGGAAGTGGATGTTTTGTGTTTCCAGAAAGGTGTTTGCACAGCCAGGCTTATGCAATTTTCATAGATTGTTAGGTATCACAAATAGTTATCTTACATTGAGCCGTGTGTAGAGGTAGTCACTTTGCTAAGAGACAAAGAAAGGAAATTAGGATGAGCTGGACTCTTTTGATTAAAGTGGTAGACTCTTGGTTAAGCTACCACAAAAAAAAGGATTTCTGTTGGATTAAGATTGAATGGATACAGTCATAAGGAAGATGTACCTCATGGGAAGACAGGAGGGCTGCCCTTAAGCACTTATGTGATTTTAAAAACCAGATGAATTTGTTGCTCCCATTCCATCATTGATACAGTTTCAGTTTTTCTAGTTCTTTGTTCTTCCTATATGACTTATTACCTTGCCCCTCTGTTTTTCACCATCTGGTTTATATCCTCGGTATTTTCCTTTCTAATTCCAGAGCAAAGAGTCTTCTGGCCTAATACTACTTCCCATATTGGGCAGATTGATCATGCTGACCAGTCGCTCTGCTGTCATCCAACCACTGGCGCTTTGGCTGGTACCCACTCCCCGTCCTGTGGGTGGCCTTCCCTTCCCCAAAGAATAGCCTGTGGCTGCTTTCCAGAGAAAGGGCTATGTGGGTCAAATTTCCTTTAGATGTAGATAGTCTTCCCTGAATTTCAGTGAGCTTCATTCTGCCATTTTGATAAAAATATTCAATATGCTCTAACTTGACATTTCTAATATTAAAAAGCATCTCTGTTTACTTAGCAGTAGTTATAAAAGAATATCCTTTAGTGAGAAAAAAAGCATCTTTGAGGAACATCTTTAATTCAGAAAAAAATTAGTTTTTTCCCTTGTATATGGATCTGTATATATCATTATAATACGTAATTAATCCCAGAATCAGCTCTTATTAAAACCAAGATGACTCCTTATTTCTACTACCATCACTACTAACTAACTATGGTGGTTTGCTGTTACAGAGTAACGCCAGGTACTTTATTTAATGTAATCCTTCCATCAACCTTTCAGGGAAGGAACTGAGCTTCTAATTAGTTAAGTGATTACACAGTCTCTTGGAAGTTGTTGGACTGGGAGTTTTGGCTCCAGAATTCTCATAGCAATGCCTAGCTCAGTCTGCTATAGAGGAGATTTGACTTTCATTTCTGGAGACCTCTGAAATCTTCTTTCAGATAGGTTTCCTCAGTCCCCTATGTGTCTGTGAGCAGAAGGCAGTTTCCCAACTTGTCCCTTTGCCCTGTGACATCATAGACAAATACACAGGCCCATTTAGAGTTGCCGTTTGGGGAAACACAGAAGGTGTACCTCAAAAATCCATTGCAAGAGGATAGCATGATGCCAGAGAGCAATTCAGTCAAAGCCATTATAATAGCAAGGAGCAAGGGGAGATACAGCAAGGCTCAAAAATGCTACCCTGTGATGGTATGAGTTAACTCAAAGATGTATTTTAAAGTATGCTGACAAAGGGATGGAGAGACAATCCTCCATGAGTGCAAATTTCCTTTGACCAAGTCTTTAGCAGTCATTGGTTAGCAGAGAGATTGAGAGTATGTCTCTTGCCAAGCACTTACTCTATGATCATCCCATGTTACTAGTTAAAGGCAAGGCCATTCGGTTTTACATTTCTGCGAGTTAAAAATAGGACTGACTTCCTTTCTTGAATAAGGAATCTAATAGGAAGAAGAGCAAAAGTGGTGCTGTGTTCCCTCTCTCGGGTGAATTGAGAGAGCATCCTCAGTTCCCTTCCTCAAAAGGGTAGGGTAACGATTTTCCCTCTTTTAATTGGAGCTTTGTTTTTTGTCTGCTCCCATTGGCATTTCTAGGCTGCAGACTCTTCCAGCTCCAAGACTGGATATAGGAGTAAAAAGAGAGCCCAGGGACTCACTCCTGTGTCGCTCCTTGGATCCCAAGGTCCAGAGGTAGTCTGTCTTGTCTCCCCCCTTTCAGAGTCTTCTTTGCTTATGTATAATCTCCAGGTGTTTAGTTCTACTTAATGGGAAAAATAAGGAAAAATACATCTGCTACATCTTCCCAAAGCAGAAGTTTTCTGATTCTATTTCATTTCAGCATTTACTTTATATTTATATTGAGGCATTGGGAGGCAGAGCATGAATCCCATACAGACATTTGTTAGGAGGGCTAGGCCTCTCTTCCTAGGCTGTCCATTGTTACGCCTTCTTCCTGCTGGTTGGCTTGAGCACCTCTTTGTTGAGACTGAGCGCTTTAACTGAAAGATAATTACCAGAGATAAAAGGGAGCTCAAATGGCAGCTTATTTCAGTGAAGTCTCACATTTAAAGACCTTAAATGGATGACTAGGTTTCATGTTTATTGAACAATCCTGAGAGATTTTCTGCAACTCCTTTAGTCACTGTTCAAGTTCATTGATGCAGGTTTGAAGTCTGAAAGCACTTGCTGAGTTTTCAAGAGTGCTTCTAGAAATGTTTTTCTTCCATCTTGAGACGTTTTCAGATTTTTATTCGTCCACAGTGGCTTGTACGGCAACACTTCCATGGTATGCACTGGGAAGTTTCCTGAGCTTCCTGTTATGGAAAGCATGATATCTACCCCACCTTGTCCTTCTAAAACTGCCCTTTTTTCCGTTTGGACCCAATGTTTGGGGTTTTCACAGGACAGTGAGACCATTTTGAGTACTCACTTGAATATTTTTATAAATTTATTTTTTAAATTTTTAATGAGTTTATGAACTTTTTATCAATATTCATAGCCAGCCTACCTCTGCAAAGCACCCCAAGTTCCTTCTCATTATTTCCTAGGGAAGTCCTGCATCTGACTGTACTTAGCTCCTTTCCCTTCTTCCCTTTTCCCTCCCTCCTGGGGCAGTGTTGGGTCTTAGCACCATTTGTGGGCCAGAGTTCTGTTTGCCTTCTGTGTTCTTGGGGTCTTAGTGTCCTCAACTCATCATCTTGTGGGATGCCTCTTCAGGTCACTTTCTAGATTTTCTGCTGGGGTACCTGTCCTATTGATTTATAGATGTTCCTTCTATATACTGGATACAATGCCTTTATTAGTCACTTGAGTGACCAATATTCTAAGGCTATCCTGTTCACTCTCATTTGATAAACAGAAATTTTTCAGTTTTGTTCAGTCAAACTCAACCAGTCTTTCCCTTTGTGGTCAGTGCTGTGTTGAGTTCTAGTCCCAAAAGTCTTTATGACAAATTCAGGCAGATGCTCTTCTATATTTTCCTTTGAAAGCTTTTTGGATCCCCAGCTTTATTTATAATTGAAATGGAATTTATTTTGATTATGAGGTGAGGGTAGGATTTTTCTTTTTTTATATGACTACCCAGTGCTCTCAGTACCATTTGTTGAAAAGACCATCCTTCTTATAACATTCTGCAGAATCTTCTTTGATATAAATCAAGTCTATTGGTCTATCTCTGTGATATATATGTATATGTAAAATAAAAGTGGCATGGATAAGGCATGGTTTGTTTTATCAGTAAGACTTCTATTGATGAACATTTAGATTGTTTCCATTTTTTATGCTACGTACAATAATGAACTACATTTTACAAATATTTTGTGACATGTGCAATTGTACAGCATTTTTGTAGTATAAACTATTCAATTCCATAGGCTACATCATGACGGCTATCATTGCATATTATTTTTACTTGTGCAAGGATTCCTATAGTCTCACAGAAAATTTTTCTACAGTAAAATGAATTCTTGAAAAAAAATCTCATGTAACACCAAAAAAGTAAGACCATCTTAAGTGTTCCAAGTTCCCCTGAAAATTGCTGGGCTCTGAAATACTATGTTATATATTAAAAGGTATTGAGACACCAACCTTAGTGGTTTAGAGCTGTGCTACTCAAAGCACTTAAAGCATGGTCCTTGGACCAGCAACATCATTGGCAGCACTGGAGCATGCTGGAAATGCAGAATCTCAAACTCTGCTCCTGCCTACTGAATCAGAATGTGCATTTTAGCAAGATCCCTGTTGATTTAACAAGATTGTCCCATGTGTGTTAAGTTTGAGAAGCAATATTTTAGTACATTCCATGAGACAAAATGGATACTCTTTTTTCTTTTCCTAATGAGATCATATTCTATAGTGTCACATGGATCTCCATGACCTTTGTAATATTTGTGGAGGCTATAAAATCTGAATTGCAATTTCAGTGCATGTTGGAATTATTATATCTGTTATACCAACATTTAGAAAGCTTGTGTGAGTGACTCTGAAGTCCCCACAACTCCCACGTTTGGTGATCTTGCCACAGTGCATGTGGCCTCATAACGTTAACAGAATTGGCAAGAAGAGAAATAGTCAAAAGCTGTATAATCAGTTATCTATCTAAATGGAGCTTTGGGAAAGTATGAATAATCTAAATTCAAACTCAGCTACGCTTTTTTCACAACAGTTGACATGGACTCAAAATAGTCGGAATTCAGTTTCCTCCTTTTTTTTCTTGCCCTATCTATAGGTAGTAGAATTACTAAATGTAGGAAGCCAAAAAAAAAAAAAAAAGGACAAACATAGGAGATCCACAATAATAGTAACCTGGTATCATCGGAATTGGTTTCTGATATGCATGTAAATTCTCCATCCCTGGCCCCATGTTCACCTCTAGCCCATAGGCATCTGTGCATCCTGATGGATGCTAGGTCTGCGGATGCTTATTGGCAAGGCAGCTGAATATATAAGTGCTTCACCTTCAATTTATTCATCTACCTGCTGGAGGCAAGGAGTCACTGGGGTCCAGAAAGGAGCTATTAACATGAATCGATATGGTCATTTCTGAGCTAATCAGAGGCTGCTTCCTGGCTGTTTATCCTCAGTGCGTCTTGTGCGGCATGTGGGGCCCCGGGCGTCTTACCCGCTTGATGCCCAGTAGCAGTGTAGGGTGTGAGGAGAGCCAGACAGCACAGTGGAAAAGTATAGCTGTAAAATGCATTAGCAAATCTCTTTCTTTCTTTTTTCCTTTGCATCTCCAGCTGCCAAGGTCTTCAAAAGGAGATTTCCCTTCTCCAGGAGCAGATCTCTCATCTGCAGTTTGTGATTCACTCCCAACATCAGAACCTGCGCAGTGTCATCCAAGAGGTCAGACTAATCAAGTGTGTTTCTGTAGCAGATGCTGTGTGTACAGTGAGACGACTAAATCTAAGCGACTTGTCTGGACTTAGCAAGCAGGAAGATTCTTCTGCCAGCATTCCCTTTTTATTGCCATGTAACATGGCTCTGTTTTTATAATGCTTTCTTTTGTCTGTCTGTCAACCCCTATAATGGTCTCAATGAAGATCGTTGGGAAATTGCATTTAAACTGCTCTTTCAGTATTTCAGTGATTTTTTTTAAAAGTGCTCTGAATCAGGTAATGTACCCTGTTGTTCAGATTTTGTAGGTTAGGAGATTTCAGCCCTTTCTTGAGGAAAAAATGATCTGTTTTCATAACCTCATAAACAGTAAAATGACTTAGGAGGTGTGTTAGGACAGGGGTATGGCCTGGCCCTTCTCTGGGGATATCCAGGCAGGTAAAGAGAAAAGACAATTGTGGCAGCAGCCAGATGGATGGTGGATTTGAAAGTGATTGAAGGTTACTTCAATGTATGTGTTGATCTGGTTTGGGGTCTACTTTAGACTTAAAATCAGACCTTCATTCATTTTTTTTACTACCTACTATTTGTTTCCAAAAGGAGTCCTTCTAGATAACTCAAATGCCTTCCTGACATAAATGTAGCACTTGCATTTTCTCAGCTAGGACTTCACGAGAGGGCTGGGAAATTGAATCATGGAATTGGAGAGGCAGGAATGACTTAGGAGGCATCCCACGCTCTCATTTTACAGATGAGAAAACTAAGTCCACAGTAGTCAAAAGACAGAGCTAGCAGTGGCCCCACTGGCCTTAGAATCATGTGTTTCCTCTCTTCCTGCCCCATTCTGAACTTTGCCCCACCTTCCCAATTCCAGGCTGTCTCTTGGCAGAGGTCTCTCTTCCAAAGCAAAGCAGGCTCACCTCATCGGGCTTCCGGTTGGCTAGATCTCTGCCTCAGAGAGCTTCCCCTGCCCGGCAGTAGGCTGTGTCGTGTCCGTTGGCCTCTGCCGCTGCAGGGTGAAACGTGACATGGCTGAGACATAGGATGAGCAGAGCTGCTTTCCCCAGGGTGCACTCCGGCTGAGTTAGGTTTAAACAGGTTTCTGTCTGCTGGCTCTCGCCCCCAGGTGCCTGGTGCTCTGCTCCTTTCTGTAGCGCACTGAGTCTGCGCAGGCTTTGGGATTCGATTTTTTTTTTTTTTTTTTTTTGATGAGCATCGTTTGACCACAGAATCTAGTACAGTTTCTAACTTAAGTAACTATTCCCTCTTGTCTAACAAGATTGTTCCAATTGTGTTTCCTAATTTTTAGATGGAAGGATTAAAAAATAACTTAAGAGAACAAGATAAACAAATCGAAAATCTCAAGGAAAAGGTGAACATTCTTGAAGCCCAGGTAAGGAAGGAATCTGTTGTGCATTTCAGCATGAATGTGAGTATGTATGTGTGTGTGTGTGTATGTGCGTGTGTGTTTGGTGTATCTGTGAGCCTGTTTTGAATGTGTCGTGTGTGTGCTTGTGTGTGATGATGCTCCAGTGTGACACTGTTGCTGAGTATGTCTGTCTGTGAATGTTGTGTGATGGGTGTGATTGTCTTTGTGTGAAGGGACATGCATGGGTCTGTGTGTAAAATATGAGTGCCTTTTTATGAGTGTTGGTATATATGTACATTTATGCATAAGAAATTACAGCTTTGCGGGAGAGGTGCTCTCAACAATTATTTTCCACTTCCTAGTTTTCTGAGTTATGGAAACAAATACATTTTTCTGTGGTATTCTTTCTATCCTAGCAGTTTTTCCCCCATCCATAAGGGGAATAAAATTCACTCATGTAACTATCCTTTAAAAATGAAACCAAAGCCTTTAAGGTTTTTAAACCTCTTTTAAATATCATGAGAAAATTTCTAACTCTACCAAAATTGTTTACTTTTCTTTTTTATTTTGCCTATCTTTTATCATCCAAGTGGACAGTTCTGACATTCATCTCATACCTCATACATTTTTAGCTTCCGCACTAATGACTTGCTCATATGGAAATACATCTTCAGAAATTACTCCATTTTCTGAACTTTGAAGATTATCCTACTTTATATAATTACCAGCATCCCTAAAATTTAATTTAACTCCAAGAATGTGTTGATTGAAGATTAAATATGCAAAATTAGGTTCTCTTAGAAAACTGTATCAGTAAACTATCCTTGGAGAGAGTCATAATAATGATAAGACATTTCTGGTCCATGATTTGTAGTTATGTAAAGTAATGATGTAATAAAAACTCATAAATATGGCTGTTCTAGTTATAGGAGAAACAAGACAGCCCATGAACTAAAAATAAACACTTAAATCTAGTATATGAAATAAATAAGCATGGAAGTTGAAGTAAATGAAAAGAAAGTCTAACATCATATCTCTAATGCTTTTGTATTGTTTGGCACTTGACATCTTGAGAAACTAAGAGTTTATTTTAGAAAACATACAATAGCTGGAACTGTCTAGCCACAGATTATTTTTATTCCAATACTTGTTGTCATCATGATAATTGTGTTCCAAATTGCTTCATGATTTTTAAAGTACTGCATAGAGAGGAGTTCTACTCAGCTGTGCACTTGACCTTGTAGCCTGCACTTGTTGGGAGCATGTATGTGATCTATCTCCATTATATAAGAAACATCTTTAATATCAATTTATCAAATCTGAAGTTCATTTTCTGGGTGAGACTTAAGTGTTTAACCCATGAGATATCACAGTGAAATGATTGATGTGTGTGAAGAGATTCGCTCCATCTTTTAGTTATTACTCAGTATAGATCCTGACAGGCAAGAAGGGGTGAAATGCACATCTTGTCTCTGCTTTCCTTACGCCAGTGGTTCTTCATCTTAGCTGCACATTAGAAGCATCTGTGGAGTTTAGAAAATGCCAGAACCCAGACTGCAACCAAATTAAACAGGATCCGTAGGAGTGGGGCCCAGGCACTAGTAGATTTTAATCTCTCCAGGTAATTCCACTCTGCAACCAGCCCTGGAAACCACTGCTTCCGTCCAGGGGTTCTCAAACTCGAGCGGCCATCAGAAACATCTGGTGAGCTTCTTAAAATACATTATCTGGCCACCCTGGAGTTACGATTCAGTAGGTCTTGCTGGGGACTGAGGATCTGTAGTTCTAAGACGTTCCTGTGCTGACAGTAGTGATCCCAGGATCACAGTTTAAGAACCGATGCCGTGGTCTTTCTTTCTCCCTTCTTTCCTACCTAGGCCATTTCACTTTGTCTTCAAGGTCAGCTAAATCTCCTCATGTATAAAAATGTAAATTTTTTTATTTACACTGCTTTCTGTTTGTATCTGTTATGTCATGATTACCTGCTGCCTTATGGCATCTCCTGAATTGCTTTTATTTATTTATTCATTTATATTTTTTAATGTTCCCGTGTTTGTTTTCTCATATCGACCATACTATGCATCTGTATACTGAAAGGGACGATAACCATGCTCTCTGCGCCTCCTCATATTCCCTCTGCCTCTGGCTTGGTGCCATAGACATGGCAGGGCCTAACTAATCAGATATGCGTGGCGCTAGATGGTTGGGGTAGATTAATTGTTGATTAGTTGCCTGACAGTTTGCTTTCTTCTGTTTCGTATTTATCATACCTGGAATCCCTTCAGAAATCGCAGAATCTCTCTCTCTCCTGGGGCTCACCATTTACTCATTTGTGATATAGGAGGCTAAGCTAATTCCTCTGGTCACAGTAGAATAACTTCCTGCAGGGAAGGAAGCATGGCACTTGGAGTGAGACAGGCCTGCACGAGACCGGTGCCCTTGTGTACCACTGCTGCATGGGCCACCTGTGGGTTGCTTGAAGGAAGTTACCCAGCCATTTTGAGTTTTGCCTTATTTCTTTAATATGCATACTAAATACATAATATGCATGTAGCAATAATAGTTACACTACACTTATCAAAGAAAAGAGTGTATGGAAAGCACTTGGCAAAAGCTTGACCCTTTCTAAGCACTCAGAATAATTAACTCTTTTGCTTCTGTCAAAATTCTTATGTCTCTTCCCCAAAACCTTACACTTTGAGGTTGGCTTCCTCCAGACCATCAGGTGGACTCTCATGAAATGCCTTTAGAACTTCAATTACACAGCCCTCTAAGTCCCTCATTTCCCACTAGGAAATGAGCTCGTGAACCTCCAGGTCTTAAAGCTGCAGCTCCTCCTGTCACTGAGCCACCCAGCTACCCTCCAGTCCCCCTCCTTCCTGTACTGGTATATCCTTTAAAGACCTCTGGCCGGCCAGTGCTGCCAACTGGTAACTCAGCTTTAGACACGAACCTTCACTTCTGTAAGCCTCACTTTCCAGATCTGTGAGATGGGAGTGCTCAGCTTGGCTGTGCTGTAGCACAAGTACTAGCCCTGACCTTGGTAGGACCACCTGACTTGGAATCTGAGTTCTGCCATGAAAATGAAAAAGATGTTGGCCACTTAAATTCTTTGGACCTCAGTTTTTAGCTATAAAAATGTTACTTGGACTAGAAAATTACAACCAATTGACTCTAAGTTCTAAAATCTGTGCCAGGAAGCTGAATACATATTTTTATCACCTTTGAGAACTTGTGAAGAATTCTCTATGATTGTATCTATTATACTGATGAGGTGATTAGGTACATAGAAGCTGACTAAATGAGGTCACAAAAAAGCCATTGTGGTAGGCTTCATGTCCGAGTACTTAAACTCTTACTCTCCCTGTTTTTAGCTATTGCATTATCTCCCGAAACTTTGAGAGGGCTTCCAGATTTTAAATATTATGATTATATGATACTTGTTTCTTCCAACAACTTATACATGATAGGCAGGTCATGTATCATTTCCCACTAGTATAGAAAGGAAGAAACTGAGGCTTCAATAAGAAAATGAGCCTAAAGATGCCATGAACCATATTGTAAAGAAGAGACGGTGCTTATTTTCCTGGAGTTTCTAATAAGCCTCTGTGCAAGAAAGACAAACCACGTAGTCAATATCATGGGTGTCCTTAATAATGAGGTTCCTTAATAAAGTTATTTCATAAAGTCCTTTGCATCTTTCTTTATAAACAATACTGTAAAATTAAACAGAGTTCAGCTTTGAATTTCAGAGGTTAAAGCAGAATCTTGGTAAATTATGCATTTTTCAAGGTGTGTGTGTAATTTCTGAGATAACAGTGATTCTCAACTGGCTACGTTCTGTATGTTCATAGAGTGACTAGAACCACAAGCTTACTGCGAAGGAGTGATGGGAGTGGTGGGTGGATCAGAAGCATTGCTTGATAAATGTGCTAGCTATGTGATCTCTGCACATTTTTTTCCAACTTTAGAATAAAGAACTAAAATCCAAGGTGGCACTTTGGTCAGAAACTCCTAGGACAGTGGTATCTCAGGCTGTGTCTACAAGGTAAGGTCTTCCCCCCACCCCACCCCATCTGCCTTCTTAGCTTCTGTTGAACAGTCATGAATGTTGACTTACATCCCATTTTAGAAAGATTCTAATCTCTTAACAGGTATGTAAGCATTTGTTTACTGTTTCCCAATTCTTTTGAGAATAGGAATTGTGTTAATCTTGTTCACCACTGAATCCTCAAAGCCTAACATAAGTATTTACCAAATCGAAGAATAAATACATTTGGATATCTTTTTTCCTCTTCTTTGCTGTGAAACAAGCCCAATATCAGCTTCAGTACTTTCTCCAAACAGTACAGATTATGTCCTCTATTGTCCTTATTCTTCCACTGCTCATATTTTCCATGCCATTGATGAACATTTTACTCATAAATTGTTCGTATTTATTTTAATGTCCATGTCTGTATTTCAAATCACATAGATTGTAAATGTCCAGAGGGCAGGAATAGTTCCTTGTATTTCACTTTATTTCCTGCACTGCTAAGGCCTAGTATTTTCAGTAACTAATAATGACTGAATCATGCAATCATATGACCCACTAAAGCAATCTAAATGATAGTTGAAACCATCAAAGTCACTTTCTAGTGCTGACAGAATTGGCTCGAATCTAGTTTCCATAAAACTCTATGAAATGATCACTTAAAAGAAAACATAGTCTGTAATCACATGAATCATTTAAAAACTGATTAAAAACTTCCTGTGGCAGCAGCTTCTGGATTTCCCAGTCTAGTTTCTTCAGAGCAGAAACCTATTTTCTGAAACTGTCTTCTGCCTGGTGCCTGAGGCGGAGAGGCCGGCCCACCGGGACTAGCGTCCGTCTAGAAGCAGACAAGCCCAGTGTCAGCCTCAGCACCCTCTCCAAACAGTACAGATCGTGTCCTCTGTTGTCCTTATTCTAACGTTGCTCGTATTTTCCATGCCGCTGATGAGCCCTCTCCTTCTTCAGACTCCCTGCGATGGCCCCCCTCACTTTGCCAGTGACATCTGTAACTAGAGACCAGAGTCTGGGTCCCCAAATACTAAGTTACGGACTTCTTGTCCACTAGCCCTGCAACTTCTAATAAAGAAAAGAAATAAAGTCCCAGAAGTATTAAAGGAGGAAGTGAAATGCCCACATTTCAGAAATGGTCACTTCAGTGAAGGAAGAGTTGAGTTTAGATTTAAAGGGCAGGCATGACTTTCCCGGGCAGAGAGGATGGTTGAGGTTTTTGCTCCCTCACCAGATACCATTCCCCTTGGGGCGGTGAGGCTTCGCGGCCAACCTGAGCTGCTTTGACCCTGACGGCAATGGAGCCAGAGAGGGGAAGAGGGGGGAGCACCCGGTTGGCTCCATAGTGTAACTACAGTACTGAAGGCTGACGCCCTGGCTGGTACAGAGGGGACGTTTTGAAGAGAACGTTCTATGGCCAGTTTTCTAACTGCAGTTAATAAATTGTTAATGGCCTTTTAACCATTTAACTGTTTAACCACCTAATGGTCTTTTAGTTTTAAAGGTCTTTTCTCTCCCTGGACAGGAAAAGTCAATGGGAAAATTTCCTAATTAGGAAAATTAGACTGACTATTCCCTTTGTTTTGTGACTTTTGATAGAAATTCCAGTATTAATGATACAATGGTAGGTATCATGTTTACAAAATGAAATATAGCCAGTTGGCTATTTTGAGAATGTAAGTGGTAGCATGCTTCAGTAAGTCTGGATTCACCAATAGACAATGGAATTACAACTCTAGGGAGGGATTGTAGTACAAAAGTAATCATTAGGCCAAAAAAAAAGTCATATAAATTTTAAAGTTAATCAAAGCAGATCTCTCAAGTCACCCATACAATATTGTTCTATGTTTTCTTAAGTATAGAAACAAAACAAAACAAAACAAAACAACCCAAGGCTTTGTCCTCAAGCATGATGTGTCTTGAGTTGAATACCAGAAGTGGTTTGCTGGAGATTAGGGGTGTTAGACAACAGCAACTACGAAACACTCATGTATGTGTGTGCACATGCGCACACACACATACACACTTACTGGGATGTGTATGTGTTTTTTTTTTTTACATACTAGAATCACACAGTGAGGGGAGAAGTTCAGGCTATGAGAAACCCACAGAACTAAAATGTCCTGTTGGAAGAGTTGATTTGTATTTCCCATCTCCAAGTCACTCCAGTGCACATGTCCACAGAGTAGAAGGGCAGACATAGCATCTAACTCTCTCTTGTTTCCCCTCACTCTTCTCACTCTTGCATCATTACAACTAGCTGAATTTACATAAGGTTTAATGCTTACACAACATGACTTTACTATGTCTGATGGGGACGTCATCACAATCAACCAATTAACCACCACCTCTTAGATTTAAAGCAATTAGTTCAGACTTGGTTGTACAGTGGTAGTAGCCATGGTAATGCTAGGGGTGCAGAATTATATCACTAAATTTTAATGTGCTGTATTTTGATACATGTGTGGTCTTTCCTGCAGTGAATTGAAGACTGAAGGCAGTACCCCCTATTTGATGCTGATTAGGCTACGGAAATGAGCTACCTGGGTGAAGATCCACATGAGAAAGATCACTATCTGGGTCTTATTCCTTGAAACACAGTCTAAACTTGCATGTTAAAATGGCTCAATGCCAGTTTTTAGTGGAATATATTATACATCAGTAGCTTTGCAGGAAGATGACATTCCAGACAATCAAACAAATATATATTCCAAAGAAGAAACTTGTTCTTCAAATCTTACTGAATAGGTGAAGAAGTGATGTACTTTTCCATGATGGAAGATGAATTTTGCTTTAAACTTAAAAAAATCTGAATCTTCACAGATTTTTGCTGAAGGGGGTGACTTAAGGTTAGGAACTTCAACATTTTGATACTGTTATGTATATAAGTAGAAAGAAGAGTGTATATGTGTATGAATAAGTGATATTTTAAAGTCGACTGTTGGATAACAAGAAGTAGGTAACAAGAAATATATCTTACCATGATGTAAGTTCATCTCCTGAACCATTGTCAGCGGGAGAGCCATTCTCTACTGAATGTCGCGCAGGAGGAGCAGGTTCTTTCAGCTAAATTCTCCACCTGCACAGCTCTCCAAAGTTGCAAATCGTGGCTGCCTCAACACACCGTAAGCAGCCACTGTTCTTCCCCTGAGATTGGAAATTGGTTGCTAGAGGCAATCCACACATAAACACCGAAGAATGAGCTTTGTCTCTCTGTCTTTGAGACTCATTTTCTAATGGATATTCATTATATTACCTAAGTCAAATATTTGGGGAAAAGAATAGAACACAATGCTGTCGGCTCGTACTTCCATAAAAATGTATTTATTATGGTTTCAAAGGAATAGTGGCTGCTCTCTGCATCCAGGAAGAATCTGAATTCATGGATGGGAATTATATACCTAGTGCTTTTGTGAAAGTGTGCTTAAATTTTAACACGTGAGTTCAATACAGGTGGAGTCTGTGAGTGCTGTGCGTAAAGCCAAAGTCTAAATCGTGGAAATGCAAAATACTGACACTTAGGAAAACAACACACTTCAGCTGAAGGACTAAGGGAGCCCTTAGTCACCTGAACTGGTGAATTACTTTTAAGCCTTTTGCTCATCCTCTCTGGGCTCTAAACATTTCCCAGGGAAGACTCTTCAAGCCTTTCAATGTGGAATGTGAAATATCAGTATTATCTATGACTTATTTTAAAGTATGTACAAATGAGAGGAAGAAATGTATTCATAAATTCATCAAGGCACTGTAATCCTTGAAATGTTACATAATTGTATGTGAGTTTTATGCTTCTCACTTTTATTGCTTGTTAGTTTTTAAGGTGCTGTTATCTAATAGCATTTAGGGCATACTTACCCTATACCAGGGACAGTTTAAGTACTTACCTGTATTAATTGCTTTAATTCTGGTACGATAACCCTCAGAAGCAGGTCATACTATTATCCCCATTTTACAAGGGATGATACCGAGTGGTTAAGTAACTTGCCCTGGTGCGAACTGTGGAGCAAAGATTGGAGCCTTTTGACTTGACCACCGCAATTCCTCCTACCCGCTCACTCGGTAAGCTGATGCATTTCTTCCTAGCTCTAAAATGCCTCTCTTTTTACTACTTTAACAAATACAGCTTCCTAGTTGGATCTCGGCACTATCCTGTGGTTCATTCACAGTCAGAAACAACTCTTAACTAATAAAGGAAATATTTTGCCGAGATCGGGTGGCCTTTCACTTGTTGGATGACTGTTGGGGGACCTTAGCTCAGAAAAACTTGCCTGCTAAAAACCCACTTATAGTACAAGTGTTATTCATGATCTGATGCCACACTGGATTTTTTTGTAATACATTCTCAGGAACATTTGTAGGGGAGATTGGGATCATGAATTCTGCTTCAAGCATTTGCAGTGTAGGAGGAGAAGTCACCTTTTACTTGGAGACACTTAAGTTCCTCTTATGCCTCAATCATCCTGCTAGATTGTAATAAACATGAGATTTTGGAATGACTCATGTAACTGAGCTAACAATCTAGATGATTTCCATTAGAATAATGCGTACTAAAGTCAAAAATGGAAAAATACTGTTGGATTTCATTTTGGCTCCCCTGTCCTCTTTTTGAACATGGAAGCACAGTTGCACATAATACACATGGGACCTGCTCATGTGGCTCTGGAGAGATTCGCTTTGAAATGGTCTTTGGATCTCCTGAGAATAAGACCAAGGAGTGTCAGAAAAGATCTGAACTCTTCAAATACAGAAGTGTCTTTTTCATCAGACTTCATTTATTTGTCATCATCATTTATTTATCAGAGCATCATTTATTTGTCATATGAATTATTTCCCATAGCTTTATTGTTTCAGTTTTTATTGATTGACATGTTTTTTAAATAAGCATTTCTGAGTGATCAATCACAATGGAGAATGAAGTGGATTAGTCCAGTAGTCGTCCCACACAGGAAATACAAAAGAAACACTAGGTCAGTTGTAGCCTAGATCATTGTACTTGTACTAATCAATACATTGGATAAGAAGTTCTGAAGTGGGCCTTGAAGTGAATACATGAAAGTGGAAAATGGAGAAGAAACTGCATCACTTTGATTACATACATTGCTATAGATCATCATTAAGAAGTCTTGAATATATTACAGGCATAATAGGTATATCTTCTGAATAATTGTTTATAATATGACTTACAATAAAAATCATACTTTGTGAACTTTTTGTATTTCTTTTTATGTTAAAATTATGTTTGTTTAATTTTTATGTGGTTTTAAGTAGTTTTTGATTATTTATAATAAATGCATTGTTTTCATCAGTGAACAGATATTCAGAAAGCCCCTGAAGTTCCCACTAATTTTCCGTGGATCCAAATTAGTAACAAAAATAATCTACTAAGATTTTATTCTAAATGTAAAAAAAATAGTTTATAAAATTAAGAACACACACACTTCTCAAATTCTTTCATATCTCTTTGCTTGGAAATTCCTACCTCTGCTTTGACCTGGAAATAATTATAGAATCGTCATCAGTATCGAAGTAAGGAGCCAGCCATCAAGAACTGAAAATTTCTTCTAATGATCGTAATCATTATAATTCCCTCCCTCCCTTCCTTCTTTTCTTCCTTCCTTCCTTCATTTTTGGATGGGAAGTAGTAAGGATGCAGTAAAGATTTAAATAATTTCATTGCTTTGTTATAATTAAAGTGTGTATTTGTAAGTGTTTAAAATGGTGGTAGAATTATGGAAAATTGGGATTTATCCGAGGCATGCAAGATTGGTTTATCATTTGAAAATCACAGTGTAATTAAACTCAGACACATAATAAAGAAAAGTCATTTTAATAAATGAAGAAAAGAGGAGCAGTAATGGGAAAACTGCTTATGAAGTAAGTGTTCAGTTGAGTGTTCCTGTAACCTACACTCTTGGCCTCCAGGACTCATAAGGAAATGTTCTTGGAGGTCAGAGGAGGCAGCGGCAATACTTAGTAAAGTAATGTGTGTTCATAGTCCAGTGTGTTAACTAGCACGATTCCAGATCACTCCAGGCTCATTTTTTCACAAGAATGAATGAATGAAATAAATTTCTTTGGGCAGATTCAAGACTTCAGCAGTTAATAAGTGTGCTGCTTTTTTATTTTTATTTTTTAAACCCTCAGTAAAGTGGAGTCTTTTTCTCAGAGACCTACAAAAGTTTTCCAAAGCTGATTATTTCAAAAATCGGATTGTTCAAAAATCAGAAATAAAAATGTTTCTATGCCTGTAACACAGCCTCAATTAAATTACAATCAGTGAGTTGGCTTCCTAAACCATAATGCAAGTCACCTAAATGAGTTTCTAAGAGAAGAGCAATGCCCACACTCCTATTACAGCTCTTCTTTCTCCACAAGTAGCGGTTCATATTAGAAATGAAATTTTCCTTGGTATAGAGAACTGCAAATAATACAGATACCTCACATACAATTTTAAATGGAGAAAGGCTCACTAAAGGCAATGTCAAGATGGCATTTATTTCTCAATATAGGACAGGCCTTTGTTTAAAAATTCTGTGAAACCTTTAGGAACAGCCCAGCTCCAGTGACTTATCTTGAATTAAGATAAGCCAACGGGGCACAAGATTCTGCCTGTGTGAAACGGCGTTATTGCTGCCAAGAGTTTATTTGCTTGCAGTGGGGTAGTTGTTTATCTTTAAATTAAAAACTCATCATTACCTTGGCAATGTCTAAGTAACATATGGAATGAGAGAAACTGGAAACAAGGCAGTCTTTGCAAATGAACATTTAAAAGGAAGCTGTATGGTTGTGCTCTTGAATAGGCCTTGAGCATCGGTCCCTGCACCAGTCTATGACTAAGGGAGATACTACCACCTATTTTAGCACTTTATTTTGGGGAAGAAATACTTATAATATACGGAGGTGCATGTGTAACATAGTATATCTCAATAGGGTCATTGCTTATTTTCTAAATATAGCATTCAAAATTAGAAAATTTCCCTTGCAAAGGCCAGTCTTTAAATAAATAATAAATGAGAACGTTTAGAGATATGGATAAAAATGACTTGGCTAAATCCACATGGCTGCTGCTTTTCTAGGCCCTAATGGATACCATTTTTAATGCAATACAGGTTCCTTGTGGACACCGGTTCAACATTCTCCATCCACCATACATGCAACCTCAGCTCAGAAATAAGGTTGCTTTGAATACACGAACTAACTGATAAAAATGCGTTTTTATTTGAAAAGTATGCAGAAACAATCACTGAATACAGTTCTCAACCATAGTATTCAAAACCAGACACCACGAAATCATTGGATGCTATGATTTCTGAAGCCACTAGAACTTTAGTACAACAAAATAATGACCTAATTGTGTTTGTCAGGCACCACAGTCTATTCAGGGGCACACAGAATAAAAACTCCATGTTTAAGGTTTTAATTTACATTCATAGCACTGGACAAAACAGGGACCTGTGTAAATAACAGACAAAGCAATCAAATGTGGTTAGACTAAAAATGAAGATAATATCGCTTAAAGGTAGACCATTGGGATATACAGTGAAGCACTTCATTCAGTGTTATATCAGAATATTGTCTACTTTTAACACGGTCAGCAGAATAACTTTTCTTAAATAATTTCAGATGCAGTCAGTATCTTTTACAGAGCTATAGATACAGAAGCCCTAGTTGTACACAGAGGATTTTGACCAAGTTGATATATGATATCTAGAATGTAACTGGACTCCTTGAAAGAAATATAAGATGACATACAAAATGAAAGAGAACTCATTTTTTTAATAAGGAGATATATTAAACATTTTCAATCAAATACAATGACCTCAAGTTGACCATTTGTAACTCCTAATACCACTACTAAAATTAGTGTTTTGTTCCTGCTATGACATTTCTTTTCACAAGTGGTTTAAATAATGACTAATTTTTTATTATTCTTAGCTTGTGATAATTGTGTCTATTCATGGAACATAATTTACAAACCAGTTTCTTGTATATGTTCTCCTGTAAGCCTATCATGAGTTCTGAGAGGCACACAGGATTTATAAGCACATATAAAGAGAAGCCACTAAGATATTAAATGACGTGCACATGGTCCCCAAATGGTTCTTTCTGGCCACTTGCCTTTCTGCATTGCTAGCCTTCTTCTCAAAGAGAGTTTGGAAAAATAGCCTGAAGAGAACAGAGGATAAAGATAAGCATGTGTTACTACTTTGTTAGGGACAACCACTATATGGACATGTCAACAGACATAGGACAAGAGCCCGAGGTTAAATAAGGGGTCCATTAGGTTAAGGACAGACATTCCCACTCCTAAAGAATTTACTAATGATCCTTAAAGACTAAGGGAGAAATATTAGCCGTAATCTCCTTAGCCTGTTGGAAAGCAAATGAACTGGAAAACAAGTGAAATGACAATCCAAAGATGATTCCTTTGTATATACATAGTTTTTTTTCTTCAAAAGATGATACCCTTTTAAATCCACTCTTTTGGTACTAATGTTTTGTTTGCTTTTTGTTCTCTCTGTATATGAAATGAGAAAAGATCTCAGCTATAGATGGTTGGTAAAAAGAGCTCCACAGAAAAACATTTTGTGATGCTACTCCTTGAAAAATCCATCAAAGTGCAATTTCTGAGAAAATTAGATTTAGGGGAGCAATCAGAATGTTTTTAAGTTTCTCAAAATTTGATGCCAATAATGAAATATTTGGTGTTTATTTTTTTAGCTTAGTTCTAAAAGCATGAACTTCTACTTGGTAGATAAAAATGATGGATAAATATTTGTCATGCACCTAGTTACAAAAACTTTTTCTGTTACTAAGTCATTTCTTTTTCCTACCTAAAAAAATCAACCTCTTAAGTATGGCCATCTCCATGTTCTGTCATTTTAAGAACTCTACTTAGCCTTTAAATCTAATCTTTCTTTATAGTTCTTGCTCAGCAATGTCATCTTGGTTGGGTCTCTACCCAATTCTAAATCAATGAATTTATAAAATTCCTTATATATCTAACAATTATTTTTATCAGTTCTATTTTATGAGGCAAGTATCCCCATGGATTTATAAAGCATTGAGACAACCTTATCTCAGATAATATTCTATAACTACTTTCCATGTTCAAGAGCTAGCACTATTCCAGAAATAAGCATCTATAATTTTGGTCAAAGATCAAGAAAATACAGCTTTTGATGAGTTCTTAGACAAACTTTTCAAGTATAGACAGCATCTTGGCATCTTTATAAATGATAAAGCTTTCCCTATAATATTCAAATATACTATATTTCTTTTTAATACTTTAAAGCTTGGCAGTAGAGGGTGAAAGATGACTTTTTATCACTTTGGCTAACATCAGCTCTCAGACCTTCCTTTTTTAAAGTTATTAAGTATCTTAGGGAACCAGAAACTTCAATTATTATCTCTTTACATGAGTTTTAGATTACAACTGCAAAATTCTTTATGGATGAGAACTTCCCTTCAGCGATTCAATGTAATACACATTGGGTTTTTTAAGTGAACAGACATATAGAACAGTGAACAATCTTGTTTCATGGACACAAGGTTCCAGTTTATACATGACCCCTAGGTACGCACTGTGTCTATTACACACACTGCTTCTTGTTTTCTAACTGCTACTCTCAGTCCTTTGGTGAGAATAGATGAGTTTCATCAAATGATTCCCCATGGACTCAATTTACAGTTTAAAGAGTATGTAGGCTGTTATTAAATTACTTTTCAGTGTAGTCACAGTCTTCTCTATGGCCAAGCTTCTCTCTCTTATAAAGGAGACAAGAAAGAGCTGATTAAAACTCTTGCCCAGTTCTTCCCATCGTACAGGTTGGTAGAGAATAACTCATACTAGAAGCATAACAAAGACACCCATGGATGTCTGATCAATCTAGTTAAAAATAACAGTAGAAACCATTACTGTAGAAAACTCTGGTTTTGAGTTTTTTGCAGTAAGATAGCTGATAGTATGGAAATGATAGAAAATTGGCTTAAAGTGGAACTTGCCAAAATTTTGAAGTTCTTATATAGAGACCAACAAGCTCACTTCCCACCATCTAAGATTTCCTCTGCCAATTTGTGACTTGTTACCCTTGTGATCCCAAGACAAACATGCCCTCTCAACTATTTTTGATACATTTTTCAGAGGATTTTTTTCTTTCACGTTGAAGGGTAAACATGTATATAATTACAGTCTCAAGCAGTGCCCACTCCATGCGAAGTGAATCTGGAGACCAGGAGACAGTGAAAATAAACTACATATTCCAGTAACATCCTTCTAACCTTTGCTGAAGACATCAGAATACCTTTGTTTTAGTGTCTCTGTGACGCCTTCCTGCATCATGACGTGGGAAATGAGCAAGGCCGTTGGAGACAAATTTGGTCACAGAAAGGAATTTCATGTCCATTTTAAATATTTCTCCAAAATACAATATGGTTTCCTAAAGCATTGGGAAATAATAAGTAACAGGAGATATCTTGGGCTAAAAATACATGCCATTGTAGATTAAAGAGGTGTGCAGTTCTTTAGAGCAGTCTGTACGCTTACTTCAAGGCCTCAAATCAGTTTGAAATTGTTAAGATGAATTCTATGGATTGATTACCTCTAGAATAAAGAGTGAAAGAATTTCTCAATGGTTACCCAGAATTTGGGGTCAGAGGTCAACCTTGACAGAGAAAATATTTTTTTAGACGAGGTCTTTATAAGTAGTAAATACTATTTTAAATTAATTCTCTTGTCTGTTTTAAAATTCACTCCTCTTGAAATTATTACCCAATAATTGTTAATTTTATAGTCACACTTCTATAATTCTAGGCATTATCACCCTCTGCTTCATGCTACAGCTATCAAATAATGATCTTAAAATAGACCCTGAGTAAATGCTTGTTAAATACCGGCAGTGACACAATTTTGGCATAAGTAAATTGATCATACAACTGGAAAATGACGAGACACAGAAAGACATATTCCCAAATAGAATACCTTTAGGATTTTAGAAAGCTAAACATTCCCTGTTAAGGAAATACAAAAGGGGCATCAATCTGAATGCAAAGAAGTTGATACAATGACCACAAAGCACACCAGATTTTGCCACAGCACTGGTTATACTGTGTTCACTTTCCTTCCAAACAAAGCACATTAGCTAGTAGCTTTCTCGCTTCATGACTCCAGACACTGAGGTCATGAAGAGCAACACAGAGGAAAACGCCATTGGAGGAAATACCCACGATGGAGCTCAGAAGCTGGCATCATGCTGTAGGAATCAGAGGAACTGAGCACTTAACACTGAGAAATTCACAAGGGGCTAACCCCATCAAAGCTCCCAAATTGCCTTAATTCATGGCACATTTCTGGGTCTAGTACAGCCGAAGAATATTATAGACAATCCTGTGGATCTGTGTTCCTAAAATGGATTCAATACCAGATATGGGTTGGTAAGGAGAAGTTAAGGGGGTGAGCTGGAATTTAGGGTTTCCAATGCTCATAACTTAACAATATGCACAGAGTATGGAAAAATGAAGTTTAATTGACAAAATTCTGTAGGAAGATCATATACGAAAAGTCATATATGCATGATAAAAAGAGAAAACTTGAAGTGTGATGCCTTTGTTATTGGTAGAATTGACTGAAATATTTAAAGAATAGTTGAGTAAGAATTGCTTATGTTTATCAGAAACTAAGATAAAAAATTAATGTAATATTTGTTTAGGCACAACAATAGGCCAATTGAAAACACTTTTGTGATCATCTTTAGAAAGAAAAAGCAGCTTTATGTGAAAAAAAAATTGATTAGCCAAATTTTTGGTGAGATAAGATACAGCTCCATCTCTGTCCAACTCCCAAAAAGAGTTCAACCATGCATATTTTGCTTTAGGTAAAATAAAAGCAAATGCTAAACATACTGTAATATAGCATGAGGTATCGATATCTATGCGATTAATAACACGAAAATCTAGAGTGACCATAAAATTGATCCATCATTATTTTGATGTCATTGATCTACAAAGGGATACACCTGTGTATTTACAATCGATTCAAAGCCAGGTTTGGAGGTGGGTTGAAGTGGAAAAATGCAGTTTAGCGTCTCCAGAGCTTTTGTAAATGAAAAAGAAACCCACAATTAATAGTCACTTTTTGTTTCATATCACCAGCATATTTTAATCTAAAAATATTTTAGGTGAAATAGTTTTTCCTGGTGGCCTTTTTAAAGAAATATTTAATACACAGCAATCTTTACTTTCTCTTTGTGACTATCACCATTCGCTAAGTAAGATGAAATATGAAGCTGAAGAGTGAACTTATTTTTAAAAGTTTGTTTGAAATGGGAATCTCTGGAGAGTCTCTTAATCCCAACTGATAAGGTCAACTTCTAATAGGCTTGCATGAAATTTGCCTAAGTAACTCTTCCAGACATCTGTACCAGATACATTTAATTTCATTTGTCCAAATGCCATGTTCCCATACTTGCATTTCTCTCCCAGGGAATTCCTCTTGTACTTTGTTTCACAGTCCTGTTCTTGTCTATCCGTCTATCTTGTCTCTCTATTAAGAATATAAAAAATGGCATTACTACCCATTTCAGCAGAAGTCTGACCTTCATCTTCTCAAAACTATCCCAGTAAGTTAGTCACCTTGGTACCGCCTGTTGGGTGTACCTAACAATGTCATTGTCAGTGACCTATTTAGAATTCTTTATTGTGCATCCATTTCCAGCTAATATATGTTTCACCCAAAGTAAACCTAAATGTATGAATTAGACTCTATGGGAGAAGTAAATCTAATCTTTTGGAAAAAAATCATCTTTCTTTGTTCTCCCTTTGTAAATGATCCCTTTTCCCAATATGTCATGGTCATTTCTGTTCTGTTTTAAAACTCCCTGCCATTTTATCTCATGTACTTTCTTATATACTTGTCTTTACAAGAAAAACAAACTGAGCATCACAATGGTGAGGTCACATTAGGAGACCTCTGATCTCGTTGGAGGGGCCCCAGGGACACCTGGCCAATTCTTTTGAACACTGTTGACTATTCCGGTTTCTTATAATAGATTTCTGTCCGAAAAACAAAGACATGCCGTTATGTATGGTCTACGCAACAGCGACTCTGTGGTTTGTCACGGCCTTTGGAAGCACTGTTGGGGCGGGGTTCTTGATGACCGGTTCCTGTGCACAGTCTAGCAGGCACATTTCTTCTCTGCCGGTTTTTCCCCTTCTAGCTTTCCGGAGTTTCCACCGTTGACAGTCTCGGGAATTTGTGTCTTCTCTACACACTGCTCCATTCGCTTCATTATTAAGTCCAGAAGGGTTTCCACAGCTTTTTCCACATTTTGGCCTGTCGCTGCGCTTGTTTCAAAATACGGTGTGCTAGCATAGAAGAGATGACAAATATTTTTGAGAGGAAGAAATCAGAAGAGATTATAACAAGATGTACAAATGAGTCACACACACAAAGATGTGGCTGGCTGAGAGATTGGGAAATAGTGATGATTTTTCTGGCTTTCTGGGAAAGCATCCTTGTGTGTTTTTTTCTCAGTGCATAAAAAGTGGTGGGCTGCTCCTTAGTAGGTGTATAACCGGTTTGATGGGCAAGGAAACTGATGTAAGAGGTACACAGGAATTTGAAGCCAAATCATTATCACTGTTAAAAAAAATTAAGAGGGTAAAAATGCCTAAACTAGTGAGTAATACTACCATTAAAATATTACTTCCCTTACAATCAATTATCTAGAAATTGGATTTAGAAATGAAGCAGGTACTGAATAGGATATTCATGTGAATACAGTCTATATTTATTTGGAATCAAAAGTTACAAGAAGACATATATTTTTAAAGTGCTTAAGGAGAATCCTGCAGGAAAAAATTGGCAGAGAGGATGAAACTGCTTTACCTTTAAGAAATATGAGAAAGTCTGTTTTGGAAGTCAGTTTGTAATTGCAAGGGTTTAGTTTTTAATTGCTGTAAACTCAGGTAGGATAAAAATGGCAAAATTATGTCCACGTGAGGCATAATTCCTTAGACTTTTGCAGCTATTAATTGAGATGCAGTAGAGTGTAGTATTAAGAGCCTGTGGTCTGATCTCAGACAGTCTGCATTGAATTAAAATTATTAAATGTATTATTACGAGGGGTAATTAATAAATGAAAGTCTAGGAACAGTTGCTAGCACATAATAAGTATTCAGTAAATGTCACCTGCTATTAGTATTAAATCATTGATTAAAAACCCCCAATACATTTCTCTGGAAAATCTTTTTCAATCAGGTGTCATTCTTGATTCAAGGGGATTCCTCCTGGCATCACCCTCAGGTCCCAGCCCCATTACTCAGCAGCAGCAGGCAAGGTCAGACGACGGCGCCGTGAACTCCACTTACCCGTATTTGTCAGCCAGCTCCTGGGCTTGCCGTTCATTGACTTCTCTCTGTTCTGGCAGGTCTGCCTTGTTGCCAATCAATACTATATCTGGATTTTCACAGTAAGCGTTTGCTTGCAGTTGGCCTTAGAAAGAAAGCCGGCGGAACAGCAAGTTGGTTATAAATAAGTGACGTCAAATCACCACGTATACTTCACATTCCTCATCTAATCGTTCGCCCCTAGCGTGGCTGCTTACTAGTTATTGTTATGTCAGTTCCTTAACTTTTTCCAGCTGCGGTTTCCTCGCCTGGAAAATGGAGATACTGCCGCACAAAGTGCAGACTGAAAATTAATAATAATTGATATGAAGCACCGGTCTGAACACCACTCAGCATTCTCCCACACCTGGAGAAATGCTCTCCGAGGTGGACATACTGCTCCATGCCATCTGTTCTCCAAATATGAGTGGGTAACTGAACATGATTTTAACGTGCGTAAGTTTTTCTTTTCCTTTGGGGGGCTGCTACATTTCCGTCTCCTGAAGTCTCAGGTGATCATCTATAAAAAGCAGGACATTGCTGAGCCACCACAAATTCATGTAGAAACAATTTTAAAACAGGTCACCCGTTTTTCTCTTTTCTCTAGGAAACACTGAGAGAGAAAGAGAAGAAAGAGGGAGAGGGGGAGGGAAAGGAGAGAGAAAGGGAAGGAAAGAGGGGAGGAAGAAAGGAAGGAAGAAAATCATGAGAAATCTTCCAGCCCTGACTTTGAGGTTACAGGGATCGCTTGAAAGTCTGTCTTGGGGCACGTTGTGTGCCCCTTTGCTGAGGAGGATGACAAAGGCTGACCCTGTACCACTGATGATTTGGGTGTTAGAAACGAAACTGTTACTAGACATGGCACTTCGTTATCTTAAGTCCCAACAGCATCCTTCAGGAGTTTTTATAAAACAAGGGAGGGTCTCATCTGCTCTGAAACAGGATGAGCAAGTCATTCTCTGAAAGACTCGGATAATCTTATTTTATCTCCTTATCTCCTCAGAATCTAATAAAACCATCAAACTTTGGGTAAAGAAATATAATAAAAGGAAGTAGAGACAGATTCCAGGAAAAACACTCATCTGAAAAAGCGATTAAAGAAGTCAGAATTTGTTGATCTTTTTCCCGTGGTAGCAGCTGTGTTACTGAACTCACATTTAAAGCAGTCATATATATTAATTATTAAATATAAGTAATATGTAATAATAAGCAGTATCTATGTTTCGAGCATCTACCCTGTGCCAGACACTCCTGCGGGCTTCGGACTGTTGCCCATGGAAGTCTGCATTCGCACAGTGCTCACATTCTAGCGGTGGAGTCAAAACCACGTGCAAACGAAGAAATACAGAATAAAATATAATGTCAGGTGGTGGCACTCCCCAGAGGAAGCAGAAAGTCTGTTGAGGGATTATGAAGTCATTAAGGGTACTATCTTAGATGTGGTGAGGCAAAGAGAGCCCAAGAGATAAGTAAGGTTTGAACAAACACTTGGAGATAAAAGGATTAGCTCACACTACAAATGGCAGAAGAGGAATCCAGGCAGAGAGAATACACAGTCCCGAATACACAGTCCAGAGGCCCCACGGCAGGAATGTGCCCTTCTTCCTTCAAACAGCACAGATACATCCGACTGGAGGCCAGTGAGCTGGGCAGAGTAAGTGAATGGAGAGGGACCTACGGCCTGAGCACCACGGCCCTGTGGGTGGGTGAGTGACACTGGATTGTATTCCAAGTGAGCAGGGAGGTCCCAGAGGACTTTGAGCAGGGGAATAACATGATCCATGACTCTGGCTGCAGAATGGCCCAAGAAATCTAGAAATGGCATGACTATCACCAGCCCCGTAGGATGGCTTATATATCCCATTAGAATCAAAATTCATATTTGTAATAAAAAAGCAAATGTAATATTCTCGTCGGTGCTAATCAATTTTTAAAAAGGAATAATCAAATACTACTCTTCTCTGTGGTAGGTATCAACCTGGCTTTAGTAACTGCTTAGGCTACTTTTAACTTCATAGATTTTTTCTATACGAGGCTTCCTCACATTTGAACATTGTTTCAAAACAGAGTAAAATTTCAATATGAGTGGCTGACACACACAACCTTATCTTCATGTTGCTGGTCTGCTCTGAAGCAGTTTCCCACTCAATTAACCCATCAGTTCCTTAACCCATTAATTAACCCATGTGCAAGGACACATATTTTAACTGCTGTTTTTCTCTGTCACTCCCAGGTTGATGTGGTAGCTCATGTCCGTCAACAAGTCCTTTAAGACTTACTGAACAAGTGGAATCAATGGCCTTTCAATTGCAATAATAAAGACCTTGCATACAAGTGGAGATGAAGCCACATAGGCTTCTAAGAGTATCAAAGGAAAATGCAATTCGAAGCCACCTAAGGCCACCACTTTGAAGATGACACAGGAAACACTAAACCTGTGACATCCCAAGGTTAATCTGCAGTTCTCAATCTGGTTTCATCTCGTGAGGCAAGCAAGCAGCTAGAGCTGTTGAGTCCCAAAGTAGCCAACACAAGTTACTTGGTCCCACTTACTCATCCAGTTCCTGACATTTAAGAAGCTCTGTTGACTGGTGAGGTCAAACATTAATAAGAAACCCATGGCATCTCTGAAAAATGCAGTGGTGAGGCTCCGGAATCTGTGAACAAAGCACAGTGTATAGTTCTGGAAGTTAGTTCCCATTAGGTCATGATGGTAATACAAACAGTACAATTTCCCTTTCAAATATGAGGTCTCCTGGCATTCCTTAAGGATTACCCTTCAGAATGGGAGAATGGGCGGAAAGAGTGCTGAAGGGTCAGGGGAGGACATCTGGTGGTAGATTTCTTTAAGACCACACCCTGGCTTTATGTCCGATAGCACTTATTAAATACACAGACTGTGTAATATTCAAGCACGTACTGTTCACACAGCCCCTTGAACTGTCTCTTGTTGGCTCCTGGGCATCTTGTGGCCCACAATTAAAAGCTAAGCCACTTGAGACTGGGGACTTTATAACTTATGCTGGTCACTCTCCCTGGCCTGTGTCCAGAAGAATAGTTGGCTCACAGTGTCCCAAAAGTGAATGCCTATGATTACATGCAGAAAACCACAACTTGTTAGCAGCTGGAACTAGGGTTCTTTCATAGGGAAAACAATATTGGTGAGAAAACTGTCTCATAAGCATTTTGGGGGGTCAAATTGAGCCTTAGGCTAGAATCCACGTCTCATGAGGAAGAGAGAAGACTCGGAAGAAAGGAGGAAGAGAAAGATGATCAGTGGAACTGAGGGAAGGTCAGAGAGGCTTAGTAGTTGGGGACAGAATGCAAGAACCTGCATCTCTAATGGAAGATTTTAAAGAAGACATTCTGTCATGTGCAGTAAAGAGTGTCTCTTCCCTGCTCCTACCCTCCCCACCCTGGTGTCTCCAGTGAGGTTGAACATGCGCTGAGCCCCACTTCAATGTTAGGAATGGGGAAAACAGGACACCAAACAGGGACCAAAGGAGGTTCGGGTTACACCGATAAAGTGGATTTGACAGTGGGTTTTTAGAAAGGCACATAACTTTGAATAGAGACAGATACCACTTGCTATTCTAAATGTCCTCCTAAGTTTTGGTCTCCCATTTTGGTCTGTTTGTATAGCTTCTCTGGTTTCCTCAGGTTCTGTACTCAACCCCTTCCCACTCCAACTAAATTCACTGGGTAATCTCATCCATATCCCCAGCTCAATTATCACCAGTATGTCGAACCCCAAATGTCTAGATCTAGATCTTCCCTGTCACCCTGTGTGCCCGACGACTTGTTGGCTAAATCCACTTGAAGGAAACTAAGGTATCTCCAACTTCACTTGTCCAAACCAAACGGACCCCTCCTCCTGTCAATTTCTTTTCCTGTCAATGGCATCACCACCCTTCCGGTCTCCATAGCCTCTTTCTCCTCCACCTGCTGTGCAATCAGTCAACAAATACCTCCTGACCTTCTCGCTTCTGTCCATCTACCCTGCCACTACTCTAGTTTCAGACTCATATTTTCACCTGAAATCGTCAACAACCTTCTTCTTAGGCTTCCAGTCTCCAGTTTTGTGTGGGGCCCATCCCTTCCCTGCTTTCCACTGACTATATTAATCCTCTGCTAAAAACATTCTAATAATGATGCGTTGCTCTTAAGATGCCTGATCTCTTTAATAAGCTATGAAGGCCCCACATGAGCTGACCCTTGCTCCTCTATCCAGCTTCATCCCTTGACCCCCACAGGCATGCTGATCTTCTTTCAGTTCTTAGAAAGTTCATTCTCTCCCCTGGGCTTTGCACATGCTGTTCCTTCTGTGGGTAACCTTACCTTCATGTTTTCCTTACCTTTTACCTCTTTACCCTGGATAAGACTCACTCATACATTGTGAATGAGTTTATAAATAAAAGCATCAGAGGAAATATCACCTCCCCAAGCTGCCTCCCCAACACCCACATCTGGGTTGTGGGTTCCTTGAGGTGCACCTGGCTATCAGCCTTTGTTCCTTTATTGTTCTGAGTCTATATTGCAATTGTTTTGTCATCTGCCCAAATTCCACCCTAGACCATAAGCTAGAATAAAGGAGCTAGGTTTCTAACTTGCTACCCATTACATTTTCATGGCCCTGAATATAGTATTTGCTCATTAAATGTTTGCCAAATCGAAAGGAAGAAATATAGAGAATAGCAAAGGGTATAAAATTATTATCAATTCCAATGACTTCAATAGAGAATAATACCTTTTGGATTTTAATACAAAAGCAGGAGAAGAGATGTTTTAATGACTATTTTGTTCTTTTCTTCTTTTTATTGAAGTATAGTTGATATATAGTATTATATTAGTTTCAAGTGATTCAACAGTTACATATGTTATTAAGTCCTCACCCCAACTAGTGTAGTTAACTATCTTTTAATGACTATGTATTTCCAAATTATGATTTCTTTGTTAGGACATAATCATGGTGATTATGAAATACCATAAATGTTACTCATTTTTTTCTTGTGCGTTTGTTCCTACCACTTGCTGAGAACTAGAGTTTACAGTGCTTTCATGGAATGGTGTTCTCTCTTGGGGACTAGCTGCGCTTACAAAATTGTCTCCCAGTCAACCACAATAGTGTGGCTAAGGAACGGCTTTCTGTCCTCTCCTGAAGTGCATGCGTGTGTGTGTGTGTGTGTGTGTGTGTCACCTTTGAGGACAACACAGTGCCATATCTCCCTCTCACTGCCCACAACACATGACGAAGTTACTTGAAAGCATGTTTGTTATATGGATCTCCTTTCAGCACACACTTTTTATCTATAACAACACGGATAGGATACTCTCGCTCTGGACCAGGTTCATGCCCTGAACCACTCTGCCCAGGACCTTTGTTATCCCCCATTCTGCCCAGCGTTTACTCCAGTGGAAAGGTAGCTGATTTCCAGCCTTGTCCACCAACCTCATTCTGTTCAGTGGTCAGTAGGCAGGAAAAGCTAGGACCACATTAAAAAACAAATCCTGGAGTGGCATTATCCCACTTTCTCCCTCACTGGGAGCTAAGGCTTTGCCCTGGATTCTTTAGGTTGACATAAGAGGTATGATGTTTCTCTCATTCCCATGATATCATTTTTATCAATAAGCATTCTTTTATATGGGGCATGCTGTCAGATGTCAGCACAGAGGTGAGGTGTGAGACACTGTTCACCTTATTACCTAACTACACCTTATATATACAGGATGCAAAATTATCAAGGGATGAACGACCTCAGTGCTACAGGACTGTCCCTAGTATTCCCCACTTCCCTCATGGAGCAGCTGCCTTTTGGGGACAGAGGAGAGAGGCCTGCCATCATGCTAGGCTGACATATCATTTGTGAGGACATATGGGAACCATATTTTCTCATATTACTTCTTCAAAAATGAATGAAATTGGTCTACAAAACATACATCTTTGTGATAAAACTGACATATGAACAGAGATTCTTGTGAGGAATGACTTCAGAAGAACCAGCCGTGTTGAAGGATGTGTGCAAATGGAATTCACAGTCAAAAAAGCTAACAGAGAGGGCCCAGCACCTCTCTGGCGTTTACACTCACTGAAAGTGAGAACATTTTGGATGCATTTCAAAAACTGAAGTGTTTACAAGCATAAACATTCTGAGACATGTGATGCAGAATTTGGAGGTATGCGTCTTCTAAATATCTTCTCTGACAATCGATTGCCAATTTTAACCCAATTTAATACGGAAAGCTTCACTAGTCTGGGGTCTTTAGCACCTTGAAACCTTGCTTCCCCCCAAAATAATACATTTTTGTCGGATAATGGAACAGCACTTCCAGCTCTAAGCAATCATCTCTACTGCCTACAGAGTATCGCCTGTTTTGGACATGATACCAGGATGATGCTGAAAAGCCAGGCACGGTCTCTGCCCTAACAAAGCTGACAATTTTGACATTTATAGGAAGGCCACAAGTAAATCAAAGAACAGTGTTAGAGACAAAAGTAAAAGATTCGCTTTACCACACGATGGTAGGTTAATTAATTCAGAAACGTAAGGGATGGTAGGGTAGGCGTAGGAGCGCAGCAGGTGTTGCAGTCCGGGTGTTCAGAAAGGCCCCACAGAGGAGGTGGAATAGAGGCAGGTCTGGTGGAAGAAGAGGGTCAGAGAAGGTGAGAAGGGAGGGAAGCACTCTAGCAGGAGGGCAAGGGTGTGGCCAAAATCTTAAGAGAACAAAATCAAATGGCCATGGACAGAGAGGCTGCGGCTGGACGGAAGATCAGCCAACAGAGAAGAGCAGGATCTTAACACTCTCCCTCAACAACCCCTTCCTGTAACCAGTAACACTGAATTTTTCACTTTAATTCAATTAAATTCTGGAGGATAGTTTTTTTCCTTTTAGAAAGTACAAACACAACACCTAACAAGAATCCTCACAAAGATTTTTGAAAATCTACTTTTTGAAATCTGCACCAAATACACAAGGCTAGTTGTGGTTAATTAACTATAAATAATTTTTCTTTCTCAATTCAAACATCTATTGTGAATTCAGGAGAAGAGTGGCCTATCACTTGGTTTTTAAGTTCATATATAGCGTTCACTTTAAAATACATTTTTTTAAGCCACTTGTAGCTAGAAACAAAGTAATTCATGATTACCGCTCTTGTCCTGCGGTGTCCCAGAGCTGAAGGTGCACCTTAAATGTTTTCCCCGATGATCCATTTGGTCCCTGTGCATCATAAACCTGAAAGATACAATTTTCATCAGTTGACGGTACTTTGGATTTTGTCAACATTCAAATTCTCTGGGTTCACTCAGCATGTTTTTCTCAATTACTATAATCAAAGTTCATAGTGCAGAATAAATATTTGCTCTGTTTTTTCCAGAAGTATCACATATACTCTCACTTTTAAATGTCAAGTACAAGTATGATTTTCAACACAATTTAGGCATACTGTAAACTTAAATTAGACACCTTCTGTCATTTCCTCAACGGAGGCAGCAAACATTAGATTTAGGACCCAAGCTCCAGGTTCAAGTATCAACTCTCAACATCTTTAAACCTTATTTTCTTATCTGCAAATTGATACTGCTAATTTCTTCCTACTTGACAGCGTTATGGTAAACTTACATGAAATGACAGACATGAGGGCATTTTTAAAGTGATAGAATGCTTTACAAATACCTATCTCTTTCTGGGAATTGGACTTTCAAAATGACTTAGCCATGACCTATGCACAGAATTTATTAATAAGCTTAGGACACTTCAAGTCTTCCTTTAGTAGCCATTTCTTCAAATGATCTTTTTAGAAAAGTCAAAAAATTTTTTAATTATGGACTTTTTACTTCGCATTTAAGCAAAGAACAACAATTTTAATATTTCATCAAACTCTCCTGCCAGGTATGGTTTAGCGAAAACTTTTTAAAGGGAAAACTTGGCAAAGACTTACACCTAGATCAGCAGGACCTTTCAGGAGGGGAGAAAGCACAAGAAAACCCTGGACAGCCTTCTCGGCAATCATGAACACCTTGGGTGGCAGCAAATCTGGCTGAGCTTACATGTCTATGCTGCCCGTCTTGCATGTCACAATATCCTTATTCCTGTCATTAGCGTCTAGCAAAGGAGAAGAAAGTGGCTGTGATTCTCACTTAAACTCCTTATCTTGGAAAACAGCATGGATTGGTCTCACATTCTGTTCATAATAAGCCAGTGATTGATGGCTGAGTCTACACGTAAATAAAAATGCAGCAAGAATTTACAAAGCTCATGTTCCAGCTATTTGCCAATCATCCTTTTAACCTCTTTCTTAAGAGTAGGGAAATGAACACTTGCTCTTATTGAGGAGCTTAACTCAGAGTTTATCAAGAGTTAAAATTTTCAGAGCCTGTATCATTCAAGTATTGAAACACTCCTTAAGAATTAAAAAAAAAAAACACTACATATACTTTTGGAGATAAATATATTGTCACTCAATATTTTTCAAAGCAAAATGTTATTTTTAGTTGACAAAGTAAAAGACAATATTCTAAATTAAAGTGACGGGTTATGAATTTCATGTGATAACAGACAGACACCTTGTAATGCAGTAAACACAGTTTCTTAATTCTTATTTTTTCTAAGGGAGAATCAGCAGCAAGGTTGAGAATATGGCTAAAAACTCACCACACGTTTTTCCCGGAAGTCTATTCCTACTGTCGTGATGAATTTAGGATTGAATTTATTGTCTGTGTATCGATAAAGAAATGTTGTCTTCCCCACCCCTGAATCTCCAAGGGCCAGGAGTTTGATCAGATAATCATAGTCCCCATCGGTCATAGTGACGATCTTGGTGAGTCTGTGTAGGAGAGGAAAAACACGATGTTATGATTAAAATTGGTTTCTTTTGCCTTCCTTCAAAATACAATGTAAGTTTAGGTTTCAAGGTCAAAAATTCAAATGCCTCTATTCTGCCAAATTCTGAATTAACTTATTCGGAACAACTTCAGGACTAAGGACCTATCTGTTATTTTACTCAGTACAAATCTTTTTCCATCATGTTAGTTAATATGGAATAAAAAAACCATCTACAACCCATAATAGCCATTGTCCAGCAACAGTAGAACTTAAAGAGTCATAGCTTTTTGTTTTAAAGTCAGTGCCCTTTAGGATCAGAAGTATGGTACCAGGAAGTGGAGTCACAGGAAACAGAAACACCCCCCAAGAAGAGGCAGGTAGGCTAGAGAGAGACTGACATATATATGGATAATAGAAGAGAAAAGACGAGGGGAATATTTTGCATCTGATCATGCAGAATGAGCTTTTTATTATATGCAAAGTATCCCTTTTTAACCTAAAAAATTAGCAACTGGTATAGCAACCTTTAAAAACATCTATTTGAAATCATTTCAAAAGCAATGTTTAAAAATGTTCTGTTTTGAAATACTGAAGCCTCTGTTCTCTAGTGGCAAAGCTGCTGAATATTTTCCAGGTCTCAGAAAAGGGGAAGAGCTATTAACAGGCACAACTATGGTAATTCTGCCAATATTTCTTACTAAAGAAATGTCGCTTACCCTTCATGCCCTAACCTCTCCTGCCTCAGTCTTAATTTCTTCTATTGTCACAATGACTAAGGGCCAATCAATGCCAAGAACACCGTGACACCAAGAACTTGGTGGCTCCAGGACTCCCACCACACTCCTTTGAAATATACCATCACCTACTGAGAATCTGGTGAAGTCTCCACTCTTGGGGTTAGCAAAATGATTGGTCATTTGGTACAACTTTCTGATTCATGGGTTATAGAAATGGGTTCACCATATCCTGTGTAAAGGAGGCCTGTGAAGACGTTGCCAGAATAGAAAAGTCTCTCTTAATATCTGAAAAGGAAGGATACTTTTCCATTTTATAGATCCAGAAAACATTATACTCTTCAGGAGTTCTGGGGTGATTAAAGTTAAATTTCAACAGCAGGTTATTCCATGGACATAGCTAAGAAACCCTAGATAATGCTAACCATTTTCTACATGTAAGAAAATGATGCACATGTTCATCAATTCAAGCAAAACTTAATTTTTTTACACTGTCACTTAGGGTCAAAACTGAAAGATTTCATGCGTTCGATAAATAATGTTGAAGAAGATAATTAGTATGTAGCAAATCAATTATCATGACATCATTTGGAAGACCTGTAATATTTTTACATTAGAATTTCTAAAATTTGAGCCATACTGCAGCTAAATCCCTACTAAATTTATTATGGAAGTATGTTTCTTTAATTAAAGAGGGGTTTGAGGGATAAGGTGTTTTGAGAGCTGCCAATACATAATTTGTGCTGAAGTTTTCCTCCCCTTTTCTATGCTTTCTTCACTGAGTGGGACTCTCAGGGTGCGTATTTGTTGACCAGGAGTGTGTTCTCTTGCACTTTTTCTGTCTATACAAGTATAATCATGGCACAGGAAAAGAAGCTTAGTGGCCATCAAGATCCAGCCTCCCTTAATCAAAGAACACAGATATCTCAACAATTCACATCAAATTTTTCTTGGAAAAATGTCTGCATTGATTTGGCCTCTTAGCAGTGACTGGTTCTGAGTTTGGATGGTTGCAAGTATCTTCCCCAGAGCCTTCTAGTGAGAGACTTCGACACTCCCAGTCTTCGGGTGGCGAGAGGAGATGGCTGCCAAAGGAGCAAGATGCTCCCCCATTCAAAGTCGATCACCCCACCACTATGATTCTACCTTCTCCTCTTTCCCCCTCAAATGTGCTCAAGTAAAACTCCTCTGAAGGGTGATAAAGTCTGTCGTTTTGTGGAAGAATTGGATGAAACTTAATTTTCTTGGGAATGAAAGGTTAAATTTATTCTTCCTAAGATATATGTGACTAAGGCCAAATTCTTCCCTGGGCACAAGCTTTAACGATCAGAGGGAAGAAACTGAAGCCACTGCCTAAATATAACACAGAGTTGGAGAACACAGTGCCTCCCTGGAAAAAATAAAAATAACAGTCAAGAAGATCCATCAGCATACTTTATAAAGTTTTGCTTAGAGTTAACTATGTTTTGGGCAATATTATTTGTGACAGTGTTAAGAAAAGCTAAATTTAAGCAAATCTAGTTAAATATCTTCAATATGTAGTATCAGACCCGAAGATGAAAATTCAACTGTAATTTATAATCTAGTTTCTGATAAAGCAGGCAGAAATGTAAAAGTCAAATTAAGATAATAGAAAATACAGTATAATTTTCTAAGATGGAACATGATTAATTGATAGATTACTCAAATAGTTGTACTTTCAATTCAAACAGAACAGTCATCTTCATGGACTGCAGGGGTCTGAGAAGATTTTGTAGGGGAAGATGAATTTGCATTTAACCTTACAACATGAGAAATTAGGAGGAAAGGAGATACAGGAATTTCAGAATTTTTTTTCTTAAATTCTATGGGAGAATATTTCCTACTGTACAATGGAACTTTCACCACTTGCCAACTGCTAACCTATCATGTATCCCGATCTGGGGGCAATGTGTTATCCGCTGTTTGTACATAAACTTGCCTGGGGCAATACTGGGGTGGCCCAGTCAGGCTCTCATCCAGAGTGAACAATCTTGGCTGACATGGGTCACTTCCACGGTGGCCCAAACTGGCTGTTTTCTATAAGTGAAGGGTTGTGGACACTTTGTGGCATTTAACACAAATTCCACCTGAACTGAACACAAAGCTTGGCACTGTGGACAACCTTACTTCAGTGTCTCCAACAGACTATTTAAAGAAATGGACACTTTAAGTTTGGTAAGATATAGTTCACCTCTTAAATTTCTTTTGAAAATGAATTTTCTCATTTTTGTAGCACTACCTACAATTATTTTGTGTTTAGCGTGCTTCTGCTTTTATTACTGTATGATTTTCTGAGTCCTAAAATCACATGACCTCATAATTCTATCCTTGGGACGGTGAACCCACCAGCATGCAGTTAAATACAAGCCTTGGTAAACTTTCCCTTTTCAAGAGCTTGGCTTAAAAAAATGACCTTGAAAGGAGCCAAAAAACCGAAATGTTTAACGGTATTGTTTATTCCTTCACAATGATTGATGGTCTTGTCAGTTCTTAGTTCTAGGCATCTGAAAGGGAAGATTTCTGTGTTTCAGGAAGTGTGTCTAACTCCCCACCATTATCAGTGTGTCACAAGCCAGACCACAATCACAAGAGCCAGAGGTCCTGTAGATACAGAAACCAAAGTGTCATTCGCAGCGCCCTGCACGGGACGGAGAGGGGGTGGCAAGAGGAGGGAAAAGAATTCAAAACACTCATGAGGCTCTGTTTCATGTAGTTTTAAAGGTAGAAGGAAATTTAAGTAATCACATGGTCTAGCTCTTGGCTCAAAGCAAAGAAGTGCAAAGAAATCATATGATTTGTGGGGTGACAGTTTCTAACAGAGAAAAATCCAAAACTTTTGCTCATTGTAATTTGAAATGAAACGTGAGTTAGGTAGAAAGTAGACATTTTTCATTCTATGGGGGAAGGGGATTTTCCCTGGATATTGAGAGGAACATGCTTTTCATAGAATATTTTAAATGAGGTTGCCCATAGTTTCTTTTTTCTCTGATATGCTTCATTTTTGTTCAACATAAATCCCTTTAGCTCAGCAACTTAGGATCTTTTGTCCACTGCTGGACCCACAGGGCCCAGTGCAGTGGTTGGCATATGGTAGGAGCTCAGTACATGTATGTTGAGTGATTACATATATATGAGCTTCTCACAGCCATGCAAAGGTTACAGTGAATGAAATTAATCTTTGAGCAGTTGGTGGAAGCGGAGTCCCTTCATGTTCAGAAGTTGTATTCTCCCTCCTTCTTCATTTGTGAATATTTAGATTAAATGATCAGTGTTGTACTTTCTGGTTCTGGCTTCCTGAGCTCATTTTTCTAGTTTAAGTTACGCAAGGGTATAAAAGCCTTCCAAAATGGAATATTTATATCTTCACAGGAGCAGTTTCAAATAACCTGGGAAAAGAAAAAGTACAGAGGGACTGTAATTTTTGAAAGTGAGATTTGTGCTGGCAGAGAACATCAACAGATGTCAGTTGAACAGGTCAGGGCTCAGCACCCAGAGTTTCTCTACGAAACCATCCATTGGCCCATCCAGCTTACTCACTGGCACCTCTTATTTTGCATGGTTTTGCCCTGGCTCTGAGGATACACTCTGCTTTCTCTAGTGGGCAGCTTAACAAATGCACACTGATATGTGTGGATGACTGCTATACACACAGACCTACCCAAACTTTGGTATTCTTGCCTAGTTTTCCAAGTAACAATCTTAAGAATGTCATGACAAGTTAAAACCTCATGAGTTGAAGTTATTAAATTAATAAAAACCACCTTAATGTTGTTAAGGCATTCTGGACAGCTTAAAATAGTAGACAAAGTATCAGTGATATTACTTTACATTTGGTATAGATGATTTCAGTAAAATAAAGCTGCCAAGCATAAGATGGACATGTTTAGTATTTCCTCATTTATCTTTATTTGATTGCTTTGTGTTGGGTTCCAGTAGGTACATTTTGACGTCTGGGGCTCTCATAGTAAGCCCTTCATTGTCTGAAGGATAGCCTGAGGGTGGTTCTCATTAACTGACCTTGAACCACTGCCTCCCAAAGCATATTCAGAGTCCTGATGTTGGAGTTAAATGATAGATGACTGAAATACTCTAGGGATATGTTTAGGTTGTGTATCAGAAGGACGGAAGGTGTTTTCTGGAGGTGGGGAAGTAGGTGGAAATGTTCTTCAAAAATAAATTTTCTTTAGCGTATTCTATAGCACTGTAGTCTGTTAGGAAGGTATACTGAAGATAATATTTATTTCAA